GTGCACTTGCTCCGATCCACCGAGCAGTGAGAATGTAAAACTCCAGTGTGCCGGCACCTCTCCAATCACTGGATTTATTCTGCTTTACTTATCACCTGGATTACATTTTTAACTTAAAAGAGATAACTATAAAATTGGAATAATGGTTTTCATCGGAACTTCCTTAAAATCTGTGATCAAATACTTTAAAAGGAAGGGTGAGTGAGTTATTTTTGTTACCTGTTGGCTGTTTCTTTGATATTGATAATTGTATTCATGGGTTTTAGCTTCCTGCTTATCTGTGACATTTAGATTTTTGACCATTCAGAAGAGAATAATTAGTTGTTAATTGCTTTGGCAACAATACCATTTTTCTTCCACTTTCAAACTTATGGATTTCAACTACCTAGCTTTACCCCTTGAATTTATCAGGTTTATTGTGAGTATGTGCAACTGGGCGTTTTCCTCATTACAATAGATTTATTTAATCGCGAGGAGTGATCAAACATTACCCTTCATAAGCAATTCATTCATGTAGTCTTCACTTATTCTGTATAAGTACTGTATTGTTTGTAATAGTTTTACATTGTGTTCAATGTAATTTAAGTAAACAACAGCTCCTTGTAGCCATGCACCCCTCCCTTGCTCCACTCCTGCCCCCCACTCTCAGACACAGCCCTCTGTTGCACCTTGTTTCCAGGGAACCACCAGGTCAGACTTTTAAGAGCTCATGATGACCACTGAGTGACCCGTTGTAAACATAACAAGAATTCTATGATATCTATATTGTTGTAATGTATGGGGTTAGATTAGGTTATGGGTGCAGCCAGCCTATTTTACTTAAGGTGCATTTCATTAAGTAACTTTTCTAATGGAGGGTATGCCACCTGCTTGTGTCCTTGGAGACCTGCTTGTCTCCTTGGCACCAGACCAATGCTGGCAGTATTTATTCAAGTCTGGGTAGGCATACAAAGCACAGTGGTTTTGGCCCCTTGTGATTGGATTGATTACTATTGTATTTGGCTGAAGATTTCTGTTCTATATTGTTGCATTTTTGGCTTTCAAGGTCTTTGCATTTGTATTCCCATTAGTGCAGTTAAAAACAGTATTTCATCCATTACAGCTATCCAGTAAAAATAAAATATATTTATTATCACTTGAGACACTATTACTTTATCAATGGCTGCGTATGCACGTGAGTGGTTAGTTGCAGTTTGCCTCAGCAGCCTCTAATCTCAGGTGTATTTTTAGCTGGCGTGTGTTTTTGCTGCTGCAGTGAAGGCCGAGGTGAGTCCATTAATCATTAGCTCAGCGTTTTGAGTGTCCCACACATGCCTGCACCCTGCACCTGAGCTAAGCACCTTGGCCTGTCCTGCCAGACACAGCACTCTGCTATCACAACAGGAGGCAAGGTTCCTGCTGAGAAGAGGTTTTCGATTCAATTGGCCTCTTGCAAAACAAACAAGGATTAGGTATACCACAACAACAGACTGAAAATTGAAAATGCTTACTAAAACGTGCACTATGTAGAGGTTATTGCTTTTCCTGGAATGTTCCACAGTATGACATTAAACACATTTACCTTGCATTAATTTAATTTTAAATGTTTTATTGACCTTGAAAAAAAAGCATCCTTACTATGAGAGGGTCTCCTTTCCATAGATCCGACCTGTAACTTAGCCTGCTTGTCTCCATGGAGGTAGATGCTTTACTGTGGAACATTCAATAACTACAATTACAAGAATGGTGCGAATCTTCCAATAGAAAAGTTACGTGGTTGTACTTTTAGTTTTATGCATTTTCAAATAAGGGAACGTCAAAACACAATGTGCAAAACTCCTGATTGGGTAAAAAACTCAAAGGAATTTTACATTTAAAAAATATCTACAGTCAGTTCACATTTCTGTGTTAAAATAGAACAAAATCAAATTGACATTTTCATTTCTAATCAATGATATTGGTTGGTGGGTGATAGGCATTTCACACAGGAGTCATACATTTTGTCAATACCATAGAATCACTTTCATTGATCTTCTTCTATAAAGTATGTAACCCTTAATACTGATGTTAGGGGTGGATACTGGTGCTGTTTTCTATTGGATTCTTAGCACTGAGATGTTGTGCCTGTGTTTGGGACAGGGGCAAATCATGGGGACAGAGGCAGGGGGATTAGTGGACTCCTGAAAGAGAGTCCCGCCGTGGTCCTCCTGTGTGGACTCAGTGCAGTGAAAGGCTTGGGGGGGATTGTGGCGCTGAATGCAGAGGCCGATGCAGTGGGACAATACAGGCTTTTGTGTCCATAGACCCTCATGTCCTTGGTGTCCCTATAGATATGTCCTGGCTCATTCAGACCTCAGGGTGAGATGGGGGAGGGTTACCTGTGCTGTGAGTGAAGAAAATGAAACTTCACTACAATGTAAACAGATTACGGATATCAACTTTACACAACATAATCATAAAGAGTGTAAAATAATAATTTTGCCATTTTAAAAGTAAAACTATGTATTTTCAGTTCATTCTATTCTCTTAAAAAGTAAAGTGTTTTTATAATCTGCCTGTTTTTGCTTTTACTTTACTTAATCATGAAGATAGTTTTATTTCATAAAGCTGGTCACATACCAAAGGAATGATGCATTATTCAATAATGTATTAGATAATGAGAAGAAGAAAAAATTATTTTAATTTTGACCATTGTGAAGTTCTTGTTTCTTCTCACAATAACTGTAACACAAAAATCTGACACTGACATGCTTTATTAACTAGCATAATTAGTTGTTGTACTTGTGTACTCTGGAGGTGTGTATTGTGTCCTGCATTGTGTCCTATTGATCTGTCGGCCATGCAGTAAGATTCATGCAGTACTGGCTCCTATACCAGTTTACAGTGTTGACACACTATCATATTGAGTGATAAGGCATAAATCAACAGTCAGAGCTTGCCAATACAAGTGTTTATTAATTAATTTATTTATTTATTGCTTAAGTAATAACACATCTTCCAGATATTACTTATGTACTACTAGTCTGTTTCCATAACTTAATATTTACTGCACCAAAAATTCTATGCTGTATAAGTTGCTTTTTAGTAAGGATTAACAAAATTATTTTACCAAAGACTATTGTGTCTAGCACACCTTAGTACAAATAAGTGAACATTGACTTTATAATGTAGATTTAATGGAAAAGAGTAATAAGGAAATGTGTAGTGTATGCATTCAGGAATACACATGAATAAAGACAATGGGCTGTTTTGTGACCACGGTTAACTGCAGGTTGTCCCTAAATGAGGTGCAAATGGCTTGCAGATGCATTAAGGTGTCATGATTCCCCGCTAGCAAGACCCCCAAGGCACAACCATTTCAGCTTTACCTTGTTAGCACTTTCCCAACTGTAAAACTCCATTTACTTTCACTGCAATAATGTTATGGGAACACAGACTCAAGTCCAACTGTCTCCATTGCTCCTGTCTATCATTATTTGAATCACTGTTTAGCGTCTGACACTCTGAAAGGCTTAATTTGCAGTCTCAGATCCCCACCCCAACATGGCATCCTCCCCCCAATAGACAGCTCATTTGCACCTGTGAAAGGGCTCTCCAAAACTCACTCCCTGCCCCTTACAAGACCGTCCCCTTCTTTCTTATGTCCTTTCAGTCTTTCACATCACTTACATGGACAAGTTGTGTTTGTAAGCTCAAGGATTTACAACCAGATGTATTGGATTTTTATATTCTGACCTTTTGGATTTTAAAATGGAAATTATTCTGCATCCACGGTCACCAACTTTGGCTTGGATTCGTTCTCTTGGTAAGAGTTGTGACAGTTGTTTTTGGTTTGTTCAACCTTGCGACTAAATCAAAAAGGGGTACAATTGTGTATATGGAGAATTTGATAGGCCAAAATCGTAACACAATATTGTATCTTTAAAAAAAAAAAAAGTTTAGTTTTTTTGTGGTTCATACTGACTTGATAGGTGGTAAAAGTATAGTCCTGACCACATTTAAATTAAACCTTTTTTCACTTCACATTGCTGATATCTTCTATAACTTGGACTTTATTTGAATGATTTCCTCCTTGTCTGGTGATCAGGTAATAACATATGTTTCAAATGGGACCATAAAATATTGCCCATTTACGATGATTAACACTAACATAACCGTAACTGTGGTTTTATTAGGTGACATTAAAATTAGCGGTGTATAATATTGACTATACTATTTGCCTTGATGGAGCTGTTCAAGTTGCATTGTGTTATATGGAGTGTTTGTATGGGGATGGAGTTTGTTGTTGTTGTTGTTGTTGTTGTTGGAGTAATATTGTAATACTGTAGTACACAACAGTATTACAAAACCCATTGTAATTTATTGGTTTGTCTTGATTATGACTGCTCTGAATTGTTTTAATCTGGAATTTTTCACAGTATGGCATTAAACCTTTCTATCATAATGGAGACCAAATCAGATCACGTTACAGGTCAGATTTGTGGAGAGGCAACCCCGCTCACAGTCAGAATGCCAGTTTTCCTGGTATTTTTGATCTGTAATTCAGTAAATGTAAGGTAGAGCTGTTTAATATCACACTGTGGAGCATTCAAGGCAGAGCAATGACATATCCGTAGAAACAAGAAGGGGGGCCACCAACCAAAAAGTTACATAGTGTACCTTTTAAACAAATTTATTTTTAACATTTTTTTCTATTTTTAAAGAACTGTAACCCTTTCTTTCCAGCTTTATGCCCCTCTCTCCTCATTTGTGTGTGTGGCCTGCCATGTGATGTTACAGATACGTGTGATGTCGTAGGTGGGCAGAGTGACACCTCCAGACAAAGACATGTGCTTCCTCCTCTTCCCTCATGTTACAAGTCTAAACAAAATCTGTTTACAAGCCATTATTCATGATTTTTGAGTCTTGTATGCAAATCAGTGAGCTCCGAGAGACTTAAGTGTTGTGTTGTTTTAAAATGCTATACAAAAAAGATTCTAAGTGCAGTAAAATCTTACAAGTTGTTATTTTGTGTTTTTCAGCTGTATCCAATCTTGACGAGGAAAGCAAATGGACTGTTCATTACACAGCTCCGTGGCACCAACAGGAAAATGTCTTTCTACCAGGCAGTCGGCCGCCTTGTGTAGAGGACCTCCACCGCCAGGCCAAAGTCAACCTCAAGACTGCACTAAGAGGTGAGGAGAAATGGGGCTCTAGCATTAAAATTGACATTACTCACACAAGCTTCTTGGCATTCACTTTTTCATGTCATGTGATGGTAAAGTCATTTTATTTTCACACAAAAATATAATGACACAGCACTCGTGTTGTAACATGGTATGATTGCTTACAGCTCTCTCACCAAACTAGCTGATCTAAGCAAAAAATCCGCACGCTTACAAAATCTTATTATACTCAATGTCATCACAATTGTCATAGCAAGGTCAAGGCACCATGCTGAAGAAGCACTACCAGCCTATCTGCCGTATCTACCACTAGTGTTGTGCCCTTTTGCTTTGAGGAGGTTTGTAACTCATAAAAAATAAGCACTCACTCAGATCCTGTGAGTGTTTTATTTCTGTCCATTTATTTTTAAAGAACGAAAAAATTCTCTGTGGTTAAATTTCAAAGGAGTTTTAGTGTGGTCACAAAATACTTTCTCTCCTCCTCTCTAACCCTACTGACCCTGGTGTAGTGACTAGATAAACCTGATTGCAGGGGGAGGGGGGATCGAGATGACATTGCATGAATTAGGCCCAAATTTAATCTTAATACAAAGTACAATTTATTAATACATTTTCTTGAATAAATGTAAACTGGGTCCAGACACTACATTTTGTTTAGTGTGTTCAAACAGGGCTGCAATGCAAGATCACACCTACTTGTTCAGACAAGCCACAAGACAAGTAAACAATGGAAGTCAGAACAGCTAAAACTTAAAATCCTGCCTGTAACAGGAAGAGGGGCTTGGACTGTTTGTTTGTTTGTTTGTTTGTTTACCTTGGCAAAGTATCTCTCAGCATTCTCGAAAAAAACACTGGATTTAGACAAACTTTATTGAGCCACGGGGGAAATTATTTAGACTCAGTTTCCACATCACAATATATTATAATATTAAGAGCAACAATATAAATGTAAATAATAAATTCAAAATAAACAGCAGAAATAGCAAGAGACGGGTGTCAAATAAGGCACAATTATACATGTATGTACAAGTAAAAATCAAACATAGAAATACAGTAATAAAATATATATCTTAGCAGATGGGTAAGGCAAAACACTGGTAAAATGAATGTAGTGTTATGGCTGAAACAAATTCCTATAAATAAAATAGTATATTGTAATTGTATAATGGTATAGTTTCTGTATAATATACTAAATTATTAAAATGTGCACGACGATCATTACTTGAAATGTAATAACTCTATTCATACAGGATAAGTGGCAACTTTATGTCACTTTTAAGTTTTCAGCAGCCAATGTTAGCGTATTTGTAAATTTGTTTTGCAGCCACAGTAAAATAAATGAATAAAGTGGTGTTTTATTACATTTTGGATCCACTGGTCAAAAAGCCATAGTGAAATAAGTTTATATAAAATTACAGAAATGCAGTGCTTTGGCTACCCGCATTAGAAATCTGAACTGTGTTGCTGTTGTGTTTAGTGTCCCTGGGAAAGTTCCATTTTCTCACCCATTTGTCAGACAAGAGGAAACATTCAGAGAGGGTTGTATTTGGGTGGTATGTTTGCATAGGTTTGTTGTGACCAGTTTAATGGCCTTGTAGATAAAGTGGGTTAGTAGTGATAATTTTAAAGGCAGCAGCCATACTCTGACTTGTAGAGTTAAAATCACCTGGTTTATAGTAAACCCAAGTCTTTCAGATTAGCTTTGTTTTCCTCAGTGTGACCCCTGCACTGTAGTATTGTACTTTCTACATTATTTATATGGTGGGTTGCCAAACAACACCTGGGTTGTGGATTATTCCCCCGCCCCCATGCTGTCAGCTCCTATCACCGCCAACCTGCCCCAGGGGGTCCCCTCTCAGAGGCAACAGGTGTTCAATGAATGCACCTGTCTATTACACATACACTGTAGACTTCTGTACTCTGTCCTGTCTGCTTATAGGGCATTAGAAGGATAAAGGCATTTTATATACTTTAGGCTGCATGACATATAAAAAGAAAATTAGGAAATATTACTTATTTTTTTACCTGTACATGAATTACTATAGATTCTTAGGCCAACACATGAACCTTTCAGAACAACTGAATAGGCTGTGCAACAGTGAATCTCTGTCAGTAATGGTTACTTTGGCTACTTAATCTTTGTAGTTTGTTTATTTCAGTGTCATATCATTTTTGAGGTTTTTGCACATGTTTTTCCATTGTGTTTTATAACTACAAATGACAAATAAACTAACCTAACCTAATGAATCCTGATGACCACCATAGTAATGTTGTTTTTGTAGAGGTGTATTCAGTACCTGTCCTGTACCAGTCTTCTTTCAGGTCAGACAGAGCATTAAGATGACAAATCACCTTAATGTCTTTATCACAATCCTTTATTAGTGTAAGCAACATTCAGCATCACCCACATTAAGATAACAGAGTCCCAAACCAAACGAACATTGTTAAATCTAATTGGGTTTTGTAATTGCTATGCTACTATTATATTTCCATTCATTCTTTTTCACTTGGTGCCACCATGACATCATCTGCCTCCCTCTCCTACCATGCAGTGAGTCACTTTTTAATTTGATTTAAGTTTTACATTGGTTTAACCTTGGATTACATTTTAACTCGGCATTTGCTATTGTTTTGACTCGTTCCAGAAGGGGACTTGTTTGTGAACTTCCCTGTACATGTTTTACTAATAAGGATTGCTGTAATTCCATAACCTTGTCTTCACTTTTTTTTTCCTCTTTCTGCCTGTCTTCCCTTGTGCCACTTTCATGCACTTCTGCCTAGCAACAAGCGACAGCCCCTTATCACAGGCTTATTTATTTGATCAACCGTGCCCAATCACACCCCACCAATCGTCTTACGCTCGTCATAGTATCCTCATTAGCATTACGCTTTCTAAATCCATCCTTCAACACACGAGCTGCTTCTCACAAACGCTGCCTTTCTTGCCCCCATTAGAACCTATTATCCGTCATACATGCACCAGAGTGGCTCTCCGTAGAGACCAGTTGTAATTAGCAATGGAGATAAACGCCACACAAAATGGATCAAACGGCGCAACCTTGATAGGACAGGAGTGTTTGACAGTGCCTGTACATGTGCAACACCTAATGCAAAAACTGGCTTAATGAATAATTCAGTTTGTATTAGTTGATATGTATAAATAATAGCTGAGCAGTAGGGTTGTAATGTATTAAAAAAAGCAACTGATACATAACGTGTGATAATACAGGACTACTGTAATCATCAGTCTTTACATAGGTTTTATTAACTTTGTGGATAGCTAAATACATTTAATGTTGTTGATGAAGAATTAGGCATAAATGAAAATTTAACCAGGCCTCCATACACCTAATTGCAAACTGTGCAGCCCTATATTTTTTGGAGTAGTAGTAGTAGTACCTCAAGTATCTGAACTGTGCAGGGGCTCAGCTCCTCCATCTGTGTTTGACAGACTGTACCCCTCCCATGTGCATTTACTCATGTAGTGGGCTGTCTGTTACAATATCACACATCTCCATTCATCCGCATCACCGCCGAAACAGCAGGTGGTGAGGAGAGGTGTGAGCAGTGCTTGCCAGCTTCCAATGACGTCTGTGGTCATGTGACACCCAAGCAAATTCATCTAAATAGTTAATGTTCACCGTAACCACTAGTTTTATATATATATATATATATATATATATATATATATATATATATATATATATATATACACACACACACATATATATATATATATATATATATATATATATATATATATATATATATATAGATAGATAGATAGATAGATAGATAGATAGATAGATAGATAGATAGATAGATAGATATAGATAAACACACATATATACATGAAGTGCTGAAGCAAGCAACTTGTATAGCTCCAGAAAACACCAAAACATTGAAATAGTACTACAAAGCACAATGTAACATGTCATTAAAATAATACAATAATGTATATTGACTTAGACAAAATAGAACAGACTCAATTATTAACGAATTTCTTGCTCTCTGTGTTTCAGAATGTGACAAACTGAGGAAGGATGGTTTTCGGAGTTCCCAGTACTACTCTCAGGGTCCCACATTCTCAGACCCCCTACAGACGGGCAGCGTCCAGGACGAGGAGGATGAAGACAATGACAAGAAGGTGTGTACTTACTAGTATGTGAGAGTTTGTAGAAAATGTCCTCTAGGCTCCACATACGATTTAGTTAGGAGTGCCATACTTCCATCTAGTGGCAATATGTGGTGTTGCAGTGCCTTTAGTACACAAGTTTACATGTCTTACGGGGCCATAACATGTTTACCACTCCACTGACTTGCAAAGGTGAATGTAATATCATTGTAAGGTGTGCTCCTTTTGCACAGTTAATATTCTTGCAGATTTTATTTTGTAACTTGATTTTTTTATACTTTATATTTTTATATGTACACTTCATTGTTGTTTTTTCACATCCAGTCAATAACATCATCAGCAGAAGATGACAAGTCCCAACTGTCCATGAGGTCCCAGACTCCTCAGGGCTGTGTTGAGGACAGGGAGGGGTCAGAGGTGGACGGTCAAGTGGTTTGGACCAAGGCCACACCCCTCCCCACGCCTGAGGAGAGGATGAGACAGGCTGCTCAGGCTGTGCCCACTGACATTGTTCCTATTAATGTAACAGGTATGCTCCATCATATCAATTTTTACATAAGAAATTTTGCATACATATCATTGAAAAAATGAATATGAAAAAAGTGGTTTAAAATTTAAACTACACTGTACCAACTCCACTCTGTCAAAGAACTCAGTTTATTCCCATCTGAATAAAGCCCCCTTTGCACCTGACCGTCCTTTCTGGTTGTGTGCATTTGTCTGTTTAAATTAGTTTGACGGCTAATCCAAGGTTAGGAATTCGGATGCATATCTGAGTGTTTGCAAATTGTTCCCAAGAGGCTCTTTTTGAGTATGGAGCATTTTGTTACTATGTGAGCTGGGCATGATGTTGTAAGATATTTATATTTACTTTTACATTATTCAAATTTTCTATATGCAAAAAGTTTGATTTTAAATTTGTGATATCCCTATGTGGTACAAACATAATATAAGTGTAGTCAATACAAAGCATTCTGGAAAATATATTGTTACGGAATGATTTATAAATAAATGACCAATACCACATTGAATTCAAATTGTCAGTTTACAATAACCATCTGATTTTGCCTGTGTCACAGTCAATCTTCCTGTGGGCCCATGATCCCACAGACACTAATGAAGCCTTAATGTGTTTCCTCTCCTCACAAATCACTGTTGACTTCATCTGCTGTCACTTTGCATTACTGAGTGAACGAGGCTAAAGCACAGACACTGGGCAAGATCAGAGGGTTTTTTGTCACCAAGTGTTAACGTGACAGTCTGCCCTTAGACTGTTCTCTACATTCATGATGCCTGTCCACTGCTGAGGCCAGACACCACTATATGCCGACAATCTCTTACCTTGCATCTGCATGTCTTGAAAAACCCAAACCCTGTTCAGCGATTCTTATTAACATCCACTTTCCACATCTCAACTGAATATACAAACAATAATGTAACACTCAGCACTGAATTTTAAAAAGTGAAAATGTCTCAAACTTTGCAAATGGATCAGTTTCTTAGATTTAGCCATAAATATTCTCAGCCTATTTGCTTCATGATTTATGCTACTATTTGAGACTGATATTTTGAATCCACGAGCAAAGATTGGCACTACTCTTTAAAAGCTGCTGTCAAAAAGCAGAATGCATGTTTTATTTAACAAGAAACCGTTGTGCATGTGAAGTTTTCCCTATAACTAACTGTTGACTGTTTGCTTATGTCTGCGCCTGCCTCGCTCTCGCTCTCCCGCGCTCCAGGCGAAGTGTTTGACCGACAGGCAAGCATCCGGCGCTCCCTCATTAACACTGACACCGTGTCCCGAAGGCCCAAGAAGGTCAAACGCAGAAAGACTATATCAGGGCTGCCAGACAACTTCAACCTGGATTTAGGTATGGGTGAATGTGGTGGCAACGTGTAGCGCCCTCCACTGTCCATAGACCATAGTGCAAGTAGTGGTAGCTGTAGTTCTAGCTGTAGTAGTTGTTCTGTAATGGTTATACGTTTACGTGCTTCTGTCATGATGGACCTTTTCTTTTTAATCGATTTTTGGGTTGATTTGGGGAATTCTTGGGCCATACTTTGTGTGCTTTATCTGTGTACAGTGCTATCATTTGTGTGTGTCTCATTCCTATTCATTTTACATTGATGAATACTGCTGCTGGTTTGTGGCTTTCTTCTGGGTCAGCCTTTTGCACTTCCAGTCTTGATTGAATTCCTATTTATTATCCAGATTTCATTTGAACTGGTTTAAGCCTGTTTTTTTATGAATTACATTTTTGCGTAATCCCCATTTTATCCCTTTCTTAAAGCTTGGAATTGGTTTAGTTATTTAATGTGTGTTTAGCTGATATTTGAACTAAAACATGCTGTACATTTTTAACTTCTGATGATTGTAGTGATTGACAAAGTATAAAACTGCAAATATAAAAGTGAAATGCCTTTTCTGACTTCCTTTTACAAAAGTTCTTAGTCTTTTTGAGCTCCCTTAACTGGCGCAGTTCAGTTGACCACCCCATGTGTTTATTTACACATGTTCACTGTGGGATGGCACTGTTTTTGAAGCAAAGAATAAGTCCACTGCGATAAAATCAAAGCTGATAGAAAAAGAGCTTTAAGTCTGGTGTGAGCCCAGCTGACAACTGGCTCAGAATGTCATGATTACTGGGCTGGGGTAATAGTCCCCATCCTTCCCTCTCTCTCTCCTCTTGCTCTGATGCTGCCTGGGAAGTACTAGACCTGCAGCTTAATCTATCGCAGTAGCAGCAGAGGCGAGCCAAGCTGTCACTCTGGTCTTTAGCGAGAAGAGGAGAGAATGTGTGTGATGCTCAGGACAGAGGAAGAGGAGAGGAAAGATGTTGGGGAATTCAAAGACAATAGCAAACAGAAGGCAGTCCGGTTAGCCAGTTTTTGGGCCATTTGTGTGTTTTTCTGGTACGTGTTAGTGTTTGTGTCTTCACCTCTATTTTTGTCTGCATTCTGCGTACTTGACCCTGCTTGTGCATGTCTCCCTGCATTTCTGTGTTTGCTCAGTTTCACCTGTTTAAAGGCCAAATTGACAGTTTTCATTCTCTAATAGACTTTGAGCCTGATAATCATGAGAATGTGTCTTCTGTTTTGCCTGTTCCACTGTAATGCAAGCCAGAGCATGTCAAGCAGAGGTTGCTAATTAAATTGTGATCAAGAACAGAAAACATACTAACTAAACTTTTGTCAATAAGGTAGAAAAGTAATATTTTCAATGTACTGAACTTGTTTGCTTTTTCTTACTGTTTATCAGCACCACCAGGACGCTGTGGGGATGCACGACCTCATTCCATGTTCATCCCGGGACAATATTCCACTTTGGGGCGAACCGGAAGTATGAACTCAATGCTCCGGAGGTCAGTGACTAGAGACTCTTGCTCTCAGACAGAGGAGGTGAAAATAGTCCCTCCGTCCATGAGGAGGATCCGCGCACAAAGGGGACAGGGTATTGCTGCACAGATGGCAGGGATTTCAGCTTCATCCTCTACTGGAAGTATATCCATCTCCAGTACAGACAGCTCTGGGATAGTCATGATGCCTCAGTATAATGGAGATGTGTCCCGGTTTCACAGCCTGCCCCGGGGTGCCAGGGTGTCTCTAAGTGCTGATCCCATTTACAGCAGCACCCCCATTAAATCAGAAGAGCACGGGACACCACAGGGCCGCATTGGCAAACTTCAGGTGGATGATACAGCGGTTCACATGAGAAGTGCCCCAAGAACAGGCACTCTGCCCCGTCCCAAGTCCCAAGAGGTCAGAGGGAGCCAGGTCAGTGAGTGGGGTGGAGGTCCGGCCTGTGTGGTGTCCCCTCATGCAGCGTACTCCACCTCTCTCATTCCAAATGCCATGATGTCCAGCTCCTCTGAGGTCATTACATTAAACTCATCTGGGCATAGCCCGCCCACTGCAATAGTTCTACCCAACGGTCGCCCCCTTAGTGTGGCATCAAGCATAGATACCCTGACATCCAGTCCTGCACCCTTCAGTCACAGCAGCACCTGTCCTGCTCTGGCCACTTCCACTCCAGTGTCTAAAGCTCAGAGTGCGGGCACTGCCCCAACGAGTGAGTCTGGACACTCAGACAGCAGTGCACACAGCCACAGTACACTGGCCCCTACACCTCCCTGTTTGCCAGAGGAGCAGTGGATCTATGACACACCTGAAAATGTAGTGGCCCCACATCGTTCACTGACCTCCAGCTGCTCCACACCCATAAACCAGCTGTACAGCAGCCTGGACCGTTCCTCCAGGACCACCACAGATTCCAGCTCGGTCTACTCCCAGGACAACGATGGCTACTTCACCTCCATGCACCTGGATTCAGGCCTGCGCTCACGCAGCCACGGCAGTGGCCATGGGGCGGCCATCGGACGGGCCACTAGACACAGCATGTACGAGTGTCGGGAGCTGGCCAATCATGAGGACTCTACAAGTTTGTACAGTGATAAATCTCTGTCCCGAAGCATCTCTCTGCGCAAATCTAAGAAGCCGCCTCTGCCCCCAGCCCGTACAGACTCTCTGCGACGCAGACCTGGGGAGAAGAAGCCCCTGGGAGGTGTGAGTGCGATCAGCGGAGGCTCTGAGTCTGTGCTCAATGAGAGCCTCATCGCCAGTCTGCAGCAGAGCTTACAGATGGGACTGAGAGCAGGCAAAGGAAAAGGAGCATCACCTTCATCACCCTCCCACAGCCCGAGCAGTGACTATGACGACCCGTGGGTGCTGCGGCCGCGCAGTCATAGCAGCATCAGTGCTGGCAGCTCAGCAGCGTCGCTGGGAGTGCACTCTGGTGTAGTTTCAAACATGTACTCACTTTGCCAAGTGACTCCTGCTCAGAGCGAGACCAGCAGCCTGCGCTCAGACTACGCAGAGTCCTGGGGCTACTACATGGACTACCCTCGAGGCCAGACTGACCAGAGGGCACAGTCTCCTGCTGCCACCTCCACAGAGACTGTCTCAACAGGGGTGAACTCTGGAGATCTCCAAAACAATGGGGACAATAACAATGTACAGTCTCCTACAGCTCAGCAGGGAGTGGCAGTGAAGCCGAAAACCTCACCTGACAGAGTACATAGACTCACCTCTCCCTCTAGTGGCTACTCCAGCCAGTCCAACACACCCACCGCCGGGACACCTGTACCCTCATTCGTCCGCTCCATGTCCCCTTCAGGGAGTCGCCCTCCAAAACCCAAAGTCCCAGAGAGAAAGTCCTCCCTCATCTCCTCTGTGTCAATGTCCTCTTCATCTACTTCTCTGTCCTCCAACACGTCAGACTCTCTCAAAAACCCACCTCCTCCTCCTCCACCACCCCCACTGCCTGTCTTCTCCTCCTCTGCTCCCACAACCCCTCTGAGTCCCCCACCACTCTTCCCTGCCCCTCTGCCTCCCTCGTCCCCTCCCACTCCTCCACCACCTCCGCCACTACCACCCACCCCACCAGCCCAGACACTAAGCCCGCCCCCTGCCTGTTCCACTTCCCCTGAGTTTCCTCCTCCTCCATCCCCTAATGCTCTAATCCCCCCCAGCTCATCCTTCAATGGCAGCTTCAGTCCTCCTCCTCCTCCACCCCCATACCCCAATGTGGATCCCCCTCTGCCGCCGCCACTGGCTCCCTTTGTCGCGTCATCTTCCTCTCAATCTGTTGTCCCAACACCAAAGCAGCAGCCCCCCAAAGAGGCTCTGTCCGATAACGCTATGCCATCACCCAAGCCCCTCATCACACCATTTGCCCTGCAGAGTGTCCAGCTCCGATCAGTAAAACGTCCTGACAAAGAAATTGATAGCAGCACAGACTTTCACCTCAGCAATGACACGAAACCTGAAAGTTATGACTCCAGCCCCCAGAATGACACTCAAAATGACTGTACTGAAGATGTGTCCCGCCAGTCGTCCCCCTCTCCTGTCTCAAAGCTTTTAGAGGAGTTGTCTCTAGACTCTAGTTTCATCAATGAGTACCAACACTTGAATGGTAAAGACAACTACAATAACCATGACGCAATGCAAATCTCCCCACAGACCTCTCCTGTCAAACAGCCTCCAGCAGTCTCCAAAAAACCCAAAAACCCCTTCATGCCATCAGTTACACCCCAGCCTCTTATAGAGCAGTGTCAAAATCAAGAACAAAATGGACATTTGCCTACAGAAGATCAGGCAGATTCACTTACAAAAGAAGTTGAGTTAAAAAATGGGCTGCAGGAAGATGGGGAAACTTCAGAGAGCTCCGAGCCTTTAACAGAAAGCAGCGAAACATTGACAGACCCACAAGAAGAAAACTCCAACATGTCTGCTCCAATCAGCCCAGAGTTGAGTGTGTGTACCAATGGACATGATGAGGAGGAGGAGGAGGAAGAGGAAGAGGAGGAGGAAGGTGATGGAACGAGCAGCACAAGTGGATCTGTCAGCTCCAAAGAGGATGACGCAGGTGAGTGACAAGAGCTATACTGTATTTTTTCTAGACATACGGTAAACAAAATATCCTATACTGCAAGATAGAATGTACTCCTATTTATACATTTTCTTTTATGCAAAGCTACAGAAGTATGACATTGACTCAAATGGGGCGCTAAAGTATCTGTCAACATGTTCTCATTTTGAAGTTAGATCCCAGACACTTAAAATATAAAATCATTGATCAATTCACTAAGGCCAAATCACAATTCTCATTCATACCCCCCACGCCTTCCTCGTAAATCTAGCCCAACCCCTTTCCCTTAAAAAAACTACCTAAATCAGTATCAAACTTTGCCACATTTCCCATATTTGTTGTCAATTATCCATTGGATGCCTGTCATCCATCCATACTTGAAAAAAATAAGCTCAAAAGGTTTAAAACTGTGGAAATGGCACAGCTTATCAGTGGGATAGCAGTGCCGCAGCCTCTTGGATCTCCTCTCTTTGCTCATCCTTTTCACTTTGTGTACTGTGCTGCTCCTATGGCCACAGTCCCATTTTCCCCTGCATTGCTCAGTTTTTTTTTCATTCACTCCAGCCCCCTGTCTATCTCACCCCCTGAAGCAATCCATCCTTATTTTCAAATATGTTTTTTTTTCCTCTCATCTTTGCTGTTAATCTCCAGTCTAACTCAGTATTAGGTAAGGGAGGGGTCCGTGCCTGTCCATCCCAGGGGGAGATGTGAGTTTTAGGGCAAGGGGGGAGGGGCTTAGTCACATCAGAAAGGGGAGGGGGAGTAAGTAGGATGTAGGGGAGGATGCCCGCAGCAGCTGAGGCAGTCGAATTGCAGACGTGAGCGCGAAGGTTGAGAAGAGGAGGGGAGGAGGAGAGCAGCTAAAAACTCTAGAAGAAGGAATACACTTAAGGGACATACAAACAGGCAAAGATGTAAGAGGGACACATGGCTACCCCTCTGATTTTAGACGCAGGATGAAAGACTACATTAAGAGATCTATATTTGTAACAATGTCATTTCTTCTTAGGTGAGGTATTTCATTCCAGCAGCACGGCAGACTCGTCACCAGTTCAGTCCAAAGGGGCGAGCATGGTGACCCCTACGCCCTCCCGTCCCAGAACCACGGAGGACCTCTTTGCGGTCATTCACAGGTGGGCAAACTCACTCCTGTCAAACCCTAACCATGCCCGCTCCGGTGTGTTATCATGTGTTCTCTGTCTCTCCTCTCACTGTATCTCTGTCAGCATCTCATCTCATTTTCCTCTCTGCCTCGTAACCCTGAACTTGACCGCTCCTTCCCCCACATCACCCTTCAGGACATGATTTCTCTGTTTCCATTTCTATCCCCCTATGCTTCATCATCTGCCCTGCTGTCATAACTTTACCTATTGTCAACCCATATATCAGAGTATGCATTAGATTTAGCTGCTATGTGTTGCCCCTGGATAAACAGTTTGTACATCAGTAAGCACGTATCTTCACTGTTTATTTTTGTGTGTATATAGTCAAATTAGCTACGCTCATTTTGACTTAAAAGGCTGTTGCTTCATCCATATTTAAACTACTCAACACCCCGTGGTACTAATCTAGGTTAGAGGCCACCAGAGAGAGTGAGTGTCTATCTGCTCTAGTGCACTCCAGTCTGACATATATTGCATACGTGCGCTCTTCAAAGCAGGAGGAGACATAAATTTCTCATGCAGCCCACACCAGTTTGTGTTTCACGGTCACGTGGCACAGCAGTCAAGAGTCCTTTTAGCCATCGCAGGATTTCATTTCATGGGATTTTACTTCCTCTGGCAACACTCGCTTTATTGACCGCACTTTTACTGAAGACGTGTGTTATGTAATATAGAGTTATTCACGTTTCTTACTCACGTTAATTATGGCAATTTCAAGAAGGGCACTAGATCTCTAAGCAGTTGAAATGCTAATGATTTTCTGTAGTTCAAATACTAATGATTTTCTGCAGTGTTATTAAAATCAATCAATCTATATTTTCCAGTGATGCTATTTGAATCATAAATGTAAGGCAGTTTTTTGAAGTTATTGACTAATATTTCTTACACACATCAATTATGGGAATTTCATGAAGGTTTCTAGATCTCTAAGCAGTTGAGTTGTTATTAAAATCAATATCTTTATTATGATGATTTATATCATTATTTATTGTGACGATATTTGGATAGCAAGGTTAAGGAATCTTTAAAAAATGTATGTAATTCTTATTAAGAAATTATGGAGTCTAGATTGAATTAGTGCTAGATGTGTAAACCAGGTCTAATTCAGTCCCACAAAATTTCTCTAAACCAAGGAATTGAGTAATGACATTGGGTATATTTATGATACATTTTCTTTTCTTATAAATTATGTTTAGTTGTTCTGTTTTCCTGCTTAGATAAATGCTAAAATTACTACTAATAATGTCTTTTTTAAATCTATTCAGTCCCTGATACAACATAGTAGTGAATATAGCATTACATTGCGCTTCACTGGATTCAGGTGTTTTAATATATGCATGCATGAATCTCTTACATAATGCTATAATGTGGCATGCCCCATAGAAGACAATTGCTGCTCTGAGAGGTTGAATTTAGGGCAACTGTTTGAGTCTTTAAAAACCAGCGCACACCTCGTATCACTGCACAGTCTCTCTGTGACCTTCAGCACCCTCCACAGGTTTTTCTGTACAATTTCTCTCACTAGATCCAATCTGTGGGATTAGGCATTACGTCTCACCTTGCCTGAAGTCCTTTTTAATTCTGTGATCAAACCTCTTTCTTATCAGTGATCTGAGTTTTCATGCTTTTTATCGTCTCGTTAAGGACATAAAGGGGGCGCATACCAAGTGGTTCAAAGTGGCAAAATAAAAGGCATGCTCCCCTAAATAACGTTGTTACTTCGCAATGCTGCTACCTATGCATTTTAAACAGTTAAGTAAGTACAAGGCACAATAGCTTTCTCAGAGAATTGCCCTGCTTTGTTATTTCCTTATGGTTGTTATAAGGGCTGCGGTAACAACAACCCCAAACTCCTGCTGAGAATGGCAGAAGTGTCGTCTTGTGATTAAAACCGCTTTGGGCACAATTCCCAGTTTATTTTTTTTCTGATATATTTCTTTATGCCTTGGTCTTAGCTTTTTAGCAGCGAAGTAGCAGCATCGACAGTTTTCCCTCACTCAATTGAGAATGCTAAATTATTCAATTATTTTTAAGCTCTTGTTATAATTATTCCTGTGTCATTTGCTGCTCTTTTGTTTATTACTGATTCGGTGGAGTGATTGCTGGGGGCATCGCAAACATATGGCAAATTTGGGACGAAGATTTGGAGAGTGTTGTATCCTCAGAGGAACTATGCATAAGCGTCGCGAGACCAGTTAATGAGTTGAAGAAAGACATATCCTGTAGGCTTAAGATGAATTTAAATTGGTTGTTGTTTCTGATCTGAACTCTAGATGGATAATAATACTGTTACTAGATGAAGTTAACAATCCCCTGTGACATCTTGATTAACCCAGATCCATTTTCCCTTCCTTTCATTTCCTTTTCTGCAGTACCAGGGCTGGCAAGAGTAACAAAGTATAATTTAAAACTAAATACTGAATGAGATAAAGTCGTCAAAATGTTGCATATAGAAGAAAGTTGAAGCCCATAAATATTACAAATTACTTTTTCTCCCCGCTTGTGGAATTGTCTGAGCAATACCACAAACACAAGTTGTCTATTGGAGGGTTGATTCAGGCTTAAATAATTAATACTCTAACTCTTAACCCTAACCTCTTAATCTAGAAGTTACTAAGCCTGAATCTGAAACTACTTGTTCATGCTTTATTAAGACTAATTAAAGTGTAGTTATTGTAAAGTGGTAGCCTGTCTAAATAGCCTCTTTCCCACAGGTCCAAGAGGAAGGTCCTGGGTCGCAGTGTGTCAGACGATGAGCGAACACGACCTGGTTCTCACCCCTCTTCTCCCCCAGTGACCCCCACAGGCAGCTCCACTGGCCTGGCCTCTTCTTTGCCCCGTCAGACCAGCTCCATCCAGAGATCTCTGCGCAAATCCTCCACCAGCAGCGACACCTTCAAAGCCCTACTGCTGAAAAAGGGCAGCCGCTCCGAGACCAGTTTTCGCATGTCCGCTGCAGAAATGCTGCGCTCCACAGACCCACGCTTTCAGAGGACACGCTCCGAATCTGCCCTGGAACCCCCTGCCTCCCCCGGATCGCCCTCCTTTGCCCCCCACAGCCCCTGCGCATCACCAGGCCGCAGTAAAAGACCCTCGGAGGAGTGGAACCGCTATGACTCTGTGCCCCTCCCCTCACCCACGTCCCCCTCTTTTGCGTTTAGTGGGATGAAATACGGACGATCACGCACGCCGCCCTCTGCTGCCAGTAGCAAGTACAACGCCCGCAGTAGGATACTCAGCAGCCCCATGACTGTTATATGTGAACGAGAGGGAGAGTGGGGGGAGAGTGAGTACAACGATGCAGTGGACAGCCTTTCAGCTCTCAATGACTCCAATGGCACTTTATCTGAAGAAAGCAGGAGTTAGATGGACTATGATTTACAGAAATGAACTTTTAGAGTATGCCCCCAAGACTGGCACAAGCAAAGACACGCCACTGTTCCATTTGGAGGTCAGATGTGGCACTGGTTCAGTAATGTTTCAACAGTTTCCTTAGTTTTTTTTGGTTAAATAATGCATCATGTTTTGCTTCATACACATTGTTGCCTATGAAGTTGTGATTCTTAAAGCTGCAATGGTCAGGCTTAAACCAAGTACTACCTAATAATAAAGTATTTGGATTTCAAAGTACAAATAGGACTAGACTGAGAACAAATATAGTCTAAACCAGGTCTAAAATGGGACAAAAAATACATGTTATTACCGCAGTTTTAGAAAGCTCTTGTTAATGATACCTTATGTAAATATAAATAGGAATAAAGGGAGCTGTGTCAGAAAGCAGGATTATTTCAGCTTTATGGGCAAAAATGTGTATTTACTCATCCAACCATGCATTTCTTTTGAACAATCACAAACAGTCTTTGCAGTGGTGCTATGTAGCAGGCAACGTCCTGGGCAGATTTGAATGTAGAACGGTAGCTCTTCTGCAAATTGTGGTACTTCTGTGGGATACTTTGCAGAGGGCTTGACGCTGCCAACCAAGTTAAATGTTATTGTACAAAGACTTGACCCTAACTGCAAATTTACTCTAAAACATGATTTGTGTTGTTTCGTTTTAGTTTGTAGATTTGCATTGTGCATAGTCATTATCTTTGTATTGTTGTTTTAAAGATTGTTTTAAAATTATGTCATGTTTTGTTTTGGAATAAATATGTATAACTGTAAAGCTAAAATGACAGAGGAAAGTCTATTTTAGTTATCATGATGGTTACCAAAGAGCTGAAAAGTTAAACAAGTTATTACAAATAACAATCTGAAGGGTGTGGCCACTTGTCATTGTTTTCACCTGCTAAAATCGCCTGAATAACTCTATCCTTTTGCAGTTTTATATGGTTCTGTATGTACATATAAAGAGAAATGAGTTTTAAGTAACATTTCACTTATTCTCAAAAATCTTTGTACTATTTTAGTAGCCCTGTGTTTGCTGAAAGGGAGTGGTTTTCCTTTTTTTTTTGTATATTATTTATTTGAAAGTAGCAGGGCTGTAACTTCAGTGACCTGGTCCAAGCAGTTGAACAGAGATTGGTCAAAATGTAGTTGTATTGGTGTTTAAAATGCAATAATATTTAAGTTTTTGCCTTTGACTGCCCTTCATATTTAGATTTGACTTGACTTATGGGCATTGCAAAGTCATGTGAATTTTTAATTAAAGTTATAATTTTTTTGTCCAATCTCCAATCAACTGCTGACTTACTTGAGCACTTTGGGTCGGGTTCATCTCATGCCTCAAACAGCAAAAATGAATCGTAAAAAATAAGACGAAGGCATAATGAAGGCTGGTTGCTCATGTGTATATGTCTGTGTAATTAAACAAGGTGATATAAAGTCATGGCTATGTTTTGTCTCTTTCCAGTCTCTTTTATATCTTATAATTCACTGGCATCTGTCCAGTCACGCCAAAATCCCTGCATCATTAAACTTGTCACAAAGGGATCCACACTCGTCCATCAAGTCTAAAACTCCTCATCAAGTCTAACTTATGTCTCAATACAGTAAATGGCATTTTAAAAATCTTCATCCCAGTCAAGAAAACTCACTCAGTGCAATATAGACACAGCTGGTTCTAAGGTGCAGATCAATACAGCCCCTCTCGCTATAATCACACTATTGACAGGCCAGCGCGTTTCTGCTTGATTGTCAAGATGTTTTACAGTTCCACCCCAGAGAAAACAAGGCCTGGGCAGTGAAGCTGATGTGATCCACAGTTCATGCTGTAGGAGGAAATAATTTTAATTTAAAGGGCCCATATTATGCTGTTTCTGATCTGTTATGTAATGTTTCCTCAACACAACCATACCTGGAGTTGTGGTTTGTTTTGTTCACACATATTTAACACACAAACCCTGCATATTTAGGAGGTTTTAGTTTTTAGTTAAGAGTTTTTCTCTCACTGAAAACGCGCTGTGGAGATGCAGACAGACTAATAATGTGTCACACAAACTTGTGAATGAAACAAAACACAACTACAGGTCTGTTTTGATGATTATAACATGAGCCCATAAGTCAAGAGTCAATTTTATGTAATATTGTACCTTTAAACAAAAGAGTAAAGGCACACTGTAACATTTCTGGTAAAGGCCTGTACCTTGTGGTCTCCATGGAGTTTACTTTTTCTAGAAAGTTTCACAATATGGCATTAAACTGGTCGATCTCTTGGTGTTTGTTTTGCTCTAAAACACCCTGAAAAACAAATATTCTTAATGTGAATGGGGTAATTTCTCTACTGATCTGGCCTGTAATTTGTAATTTAATGCCATATTGTGAAACACTGAAGGCAATAACATCTTCTTACAGACAAAAGGGTAGCAGACCCTACTGAAGAAAAGTTGCATAGTGCACCTTTTATTAATGGTTGAGAGCTTCTTTTGATCACAGCAAGTTATATGATGTTATAGATGAGATTGTCAGGTTGGTGTAATATTTTATAGCCACAATTTCCACAGACTATCAAAGGCATGCATTGTCAGGATATACACCCCTTAAGGCCTTTAGCTGAGAATGAGAAGTATGCAAAAACATTAGAAAAGAACTGTTAATCATAAATTTGATGCCAAAAATAACACACTTCCTACACTATACATTCTGGTGCTCGTCAATTCAATAGCTTTTGATAACCGTATCACTCCTGCACACAATGGATTAGTTCCTGCTAGTTTAATCTCTGTCAGTTGAAAATTGAGTTTAGTCTTTTCACTCCATGCCCTCCACATAAACCGCCTGCTCATACCCTCCAACTCTCTATCAGACTAAAGAGGTTTCTTCAGTTATAACACGGTAATATTAATCTGCAGGCTTCCTATCTGCAATGTTTTAGTGCCAACGGACAAGTGGAAAATAAGGCATACAGTGTAAATAGAGACCATGATCTCTGCTGAGTGCTTGAACACGATATTAGCAAATTTTCCTCCACAAATAAAATAATTGAGTCAGCAAATGTCAGCAAGGAGACACAGAGATAGATACAAAGATAAAAGGAGGGGGCAGTGGAGGTGAACTGTAGCTTGGTTTCATCTGCCACAGAAAGGTCACTATAGCAAAGACAAGTTCATGTGATGAGACACACACTCTGGCATTTAGCTGAGATAAGATAATAAAGTTAGTGAATTTATGGTTCAGTGCATTTCATTATCACAGTATTGAGTCCTAAAAACTACTCACAGAAAAGCACGAGTCAACATGCCCATTGTTAGGGGGTGTGTGAAAATACTGAAATATCTTGTTTAATGTGACAATACAGTATCGATATAGCGCCAAGATAATTTTTTGGTATATTTTACAAAATTATTTTGTTACAGTGCTACAGTTCTGTTGCTTGTTTAGAAGAAGGAAACTCATTTTTGCAACACATTTAACATTTTCACTGTTTTGATGGGTATGTTTCATATTAACTTTGCACAATAAGGGGTTTAACAAAGACTTTTATTATCACAGCCATGATTTAGCTATTATTTTTTACTGAACCATATCGAATCGATTTGAAATATATCATATTGAACTGAAAGTACACTATATCAAGATATGTATCGTATTGGCAACTTCTTAATGATACCCATCCCTACTCATTGTACTGCTCCCAATCCTGTATAAACGGAGGTGATTGTGTCAGTGTGGATCAAACAGAAGGCAGATGCTGTGTTGGAAAAAAGAAGGAAGGCAAAAACGTATTATTATAGATTTATAAACACATTTATGTTTTTCATGTTATTCTTATAGAAATACATCATAGTGATTTTTCCCTTTAAACATTTGTAACTTACAATTTTAAAGTTTCACAACTGTTTAAAATGCAATATAAAATAGCAAGACTTCAAAACATTTGTCAAAACAACTTAAAAAAGCTGGGTATTTTGAGTTTGGATAAGCAGCAGCTCATGATGTTGCTAAGAAAAGAAATACTTTAAAAATAAAACATTTTAGTTATTATAAATGGGAGCACAAAATGAGAAACAAATACATCAAACAGTAGGAAAGCTGATGGTACTGAAAGGCATCCAGAGGTGTTTACATTCAGTAATTAGTTTTCCCTATATATTTGGCAAACCTGTAATACACTAAATCAAAAAACAGTAATGCTGCCTTAGTATAAGGGCACTTGTGGTTGTTCCCTGCTCTATGTATAATTTTCTCACTGTAGCAGTAATTTATTGCAAAAGTAGACGGTAAACATGCTGCATATAGTTGCTTAGTGTGACCTTTTAAACTGGAATCATGATTAAGTAACTCAAGTAATATCCCTTTAGTCAGCTACATACAAATCTCAAGTAATTATTATGAAATTATTTAGTGCACACTTTTTTGATTTTGTTAATCTCACTACTCAGGCTTCTTTTGAAGGATCCAGACCTCATTTCTGCGGTTGGTCAGTTTGAATGGACTGTCGTAACCTGCCACATAAAATGGCTGGTCCACAAACTCCACCCCATCTCTCTTCAGGCTCTCCACCAGTTTCAGGAGCTCATCACGCTTCATTTGCTCATTGGAAAAACCTCCATGGGTCCTAGTGAGACAAAGAGTGGAGGAATACAAAACCACCAGTTGTGCACTTGTAGTCAAAGTTATTTTTAAATAAAAATAAGTTAATCCAATTCAGATATAACACTGTCATTTTAATTTTGTAGATTGTGTTCATAACCAGGCACATATAAGCCAGTTATGAGGGTAAAATCTCTGACTGGGTGGACAAGAATCAAACTGAGCTGGTTTTGTTTAATCACTAATATTGTTACCTGACATAAGCAGTGAACTCCTTCCTGTGCTCGATGAACAAATCCGGGTCGGTGGGCTCGGGGGGCGAGGCCTGATGCTCCTCTGGGATGTAGAATGACACAGTGAACTTGGACTCACAGGTCGGCCCCTCTCCAGGCTCCACAAAACAGGACACAGGAGCCGTCATCTCCACCTTCACCTCTGTAAACAAAGTAAACCATTTAAGTCATACACATATGAAAAGCTCTCAGCAGTCACCACAGTGAAGGGTAAAACAGAAGCACCAGCTGTATCAATGCAACTATTAATGACATTTAAAAGCAAGACTAATATTTTATGCATTATAAAAAAAATATCATAATATATGATTTACTTGATGATGCATTATGCATTATTTGTTTTTAGTCCATGGTGATGGTACTGCTTGAAATGTTCCACCATATGGCATTAAACATATCGGTCTTCATGAACACAGCAGGTAATACCGCCAGGCCAAGCTACAGTGTGTGACCCTACTACCAGTTAGAACACATGTTTTAGGGTTGTTTTTGGAGAAATAAAAACACCTCTAATTAAATAAATTCAAGGTAAATACATTTATTGCAAAACTGTGGAACATCCCTGGTAATGCGAAAACATCTGAATGGAGACAAGCAGATGGCAGTTACACAGTGCACCTTTAAATTACACAAACTTTGTAAGCACTGATATAATTCACATGATAGTGCAAATATATACACATGCTGTAACCACAGCAAGATGAATTGTAATCATGTATTTTATAGGAAACATTTACATCAGGATGTGTACATAAGCACACAGTTGTCACCACATTATGGAGAGCGCAGATGGTGGGCAGATTTTTACAGAGGGTGCCAAATACTCAAGATTAAACCCAAGCCTCCACATCACACTGTAAATGCCACAGCATAAACAATATACAAGCTCATAAATAATGCGGTGTAGGATCTGCTGAGTAAGAACAAAGGCAGTGGCACTGTTACAACTGCTGAGCAAGGGCAAAAGTCTGCCCTTCTTGAGTTGTCCATAACTGCTTCATGAAAGTTCATAATTTCCTAGGAAATTGGAGACTGTTATTTTTGTGTTGTAGGAAGACTCACTCACTGTTCTGGTTGGTGCCTCCAATGTATTTGAAAAGTCTCTTAAAACCAGTGCCCATGGCTGCATCCCACTCCATCCCAGTTAAGGAGGTGCTAACCCACTTTGTAGCATGATATGTACGGATTTCATAGTCCTGTCCCTGCAAGATACAACAATATTCATAATAAGAAAGCGCCAAATATGCATAGGAGCATTCAGTTCAAAATTATATAATATGATTTCAAACTACTACTTCCATTGAGCCTACTGCACACTTTGACCTTTCACGTGATTCTAACTGCCTCGTTAAAACTGAGCAGAATACAGAATAAATTCATGAATAAATGTTTTAACATATGTTCTTGTTCTTTCTTTTAATGAAAGACATACTATGAAAGGTAAAAGACACCTAAATTAATTCCACTGGGATTATTTTACTGGACCATGGAAAAAAAAGGAGTGGTATGAATGCAAACTGAAATTCACAAGCAGATATTATCAAAAGCAACCCAGCTTTTTATTGTAAATAGTTGCTTGTGGTTAAGGAGGAAACAAACTATGTGACTAGTGCCTGCTTTAGCCTATATATTACTATGAACATTCAAAAAGATACTGGCTGTGGTCTAAAGTTGTGTTTATTAAACGTGTTTCGTTAAAAACTCATTTGTTACATGATGATAACTTGCATGAGCACATGGCTGTAGGTCTCACCTGCTTCTCTGCGGCTGTGAATTTGGGATTCTGCAGCCCACTCGAGAATAAAACTTGTCCTACTGCCTTAAGCATGACCTAAGTGGAGATGTCACCTGCAGGCCTATTTAGAATATAATAAAAATATATTTAATAATGACAGTGAGTAAAACATTATCTAACGCTGGAGAAAGTATGTCACATGACAAGCGATATTGATCAATAGCAACACAAATCATGTAAATTAACCTGACAAATGCACAAACACGTACTGTAATGACAAATTTATGTTGCATATGTTTTATAATATTGTTTTATAGAAAATACGGTGACATAATACCTGATGCAGTCTTTCGTTACGAGATGAAAACAGATGGGTGTGAAGCGCGACGTTTTATAATACAACTTCCGGTTTCCTAAACACGGGCTTTGATTGGCCAGAAAGTCTGAACTTCAAAATAAAGCTACAAACACAGTGCCAGTGAGCAAATAAAACCATATCTTGGGCTACAAAACATTATCAAACAAAATAGGTTGATCATTTACTACTTTCTTTTTTTCTTTATTCCTTCCAACAATATTTACAGCAAAACAGGATCCATGTTTGAAAGGCAGAACTCAGGAAAAGATTTGTTTTAGAGACTATCCCAACAAGAATGAGACAAATGTTTGTAGTTTTGATATAAACAGATAAAATTTCTATAGACACACGTGGAAAGGGTATTTTATATGAAATCTGAAAAAGTGTGTTAGTCCCAGTGCATTGATAGAGATGAACCACATGAAATCGTAATGCTGAATGCAAGGCTGATATTTCTATTCATAATGCAAGCCCTAGGTATTTCTATGTGCCGGGAGCTGTGAAAAAGAGCAAAAGGTCCAAAAGTCCAAATCCAGTCCAAAATAGCAGCAAACACTAAATTACTAGAGAACTGTAGTCTTAACACTACATAAAAAAATTAAAAGGGAGCAACATTTTTATTTGATTGACCATATTAAGAACCATTTATGTTTATTTCGTGGCATTATGTTGAATCTTTTGCTGGCCAAAGTACAATTTTTACACTATGTACTATACTTTACAGTAGAAGTAGGAGTGCAGCTTTAAATCTGGTGGTTTGAGTGAATGAAAGACAGCACATCGTCTTTGGATAGTTTTTCAGGATCCATCCGTGTCTGTGAATCGTGAACTATGACCCCATCCTCCCAGGCCCAGAAGAGTCGCTCTGAGTGACACACACTGGAGACAAAAAACAAAAAAAAAGAATACAAGACTATTCATCTGGGACAGACACTGATGAAATAAAGGGACATATATACAATATTACTCATCACGTACTGAAAAGGAGCAGCAGAGTTGGGAGGAAGATCATAGGTTGATTCCTTTGTTATTTTATTATAGAAGTATTTCTTCCTGGAGTTTTTACTGTACACCATTGTCCAAGGCTCTAATCAAGATAAAAGAAAGAAGAGACAAGACAAAAAATGTATCAGAATTCATCTGGACATAAGAAAGGTTGCATATTGGGTTGTTTTTTATGCTTTGCCTGAATTGTATAAAAAAGCTGACCACAGATATTACTTAAAACAATAAAATAACTAACCATTAACAGTTTTAACCATGTAGAGGCCTGTAGGGAGAAAGTGACGGTCATCTCGGCCAGTGTAGGACAAGCGGGGCATTCCTCCTGAACTTTTTGTAACCTTCATCTCCAGTCTGCAATCATTATCAACACATAATTTCCAAGATTTAATAACAAAGATTATTTAAATGCAACTGTCATTTTTTATTATTTTCAACTAACCTGACAAAAATCTTCTCCATTTCTTCAAGTCTGTATACTTCTTTCACTCTGTATAACACAAACAAGTATTACAATAATTTAAATAAATGTCTTGTTTAAAGAAATAAAACCTTAAACATCTTACCTAATAGGGTTCATATCCGGTCTGCTGGGTTTAGCCACAGCCTTCACAAACTTCTCTGCCATTTGAATTCTATATCAGAACAGCAGTTGTGATCGTTCAAAAAATAGAAATGGTTTTAGTTTATAATAGTTGTTGTGATAATATAATAATATAAGTATACCTTTGGTTGAAGTGCTGGTCTCTTACATCAGTGCCATTTAATACCAGTGCATCCATTACATGAACTGCATTGATTCTGCGTTGTGCTTTGCCCTGAAATGTATAAACAAGCAAACAGTAAATACCAGCAAATCAAAATAACATATCTCATGTCAAATGAATTGCTTCTAATGTTAGTACTATAGAGTATAGTGCATTCTCTCACCTCCCCTTTCAGTTCCTGGACGATCTCAACACTCAGTAGTGTATCTCTGGGAAGCTCAAGTTTAAAACTCTCCAGTTTCTTCCAGCGCAAAGGCATCTTTCCATCCCATGTGTATATTTGGGATTTCTAAACATTGAAAAGTATGTTACAACCAAATAATTAAAAATGATGTATGTACAATCTTGTTTTTAAAACTCACCCCTAAGGCTAAAAGGAAGATTTGTTCACCGCCTCCCACAATGCATCTGTGATCGAGGACATGGCGTAGCTTTTCAAGCGTGTGTGTGTTAAGGAAAGTGGGTTTACTCTGGAATGCCTCCAGATCTGCCCCCTGAGAATGGTGGAAATACGCAATGGGGTGAAATTAGTAGTTTGTTTTATGGCATACATGTAAAATGACTCACCTTCAGCAGTTCATGAAATTTAGATCTTGGGTCTGAGGAGGTTGATGCTACTCTAGCTTTGTCTGGGACCCCCCAAAGTTTGAGACACTCCTTTCTAATGTCAGCTTGCCTTGCCTCTGAGAGAGTCCTATAGATATGAGAAAAATATGCTGATAAAAACTTTGCACATGACCTCAATAAATGTTAAATCACCAAAACATGCTGATGTACGTACGGATCTACAACAAAAGCATGTATTTTTGCTAGGGCCTTGATCTGGACAGCACAGAGACTAAAGAAAAAAGACAAAAATATGGTTATATAACATAAAAAAAACCAATTATTTTTTAAAGTGAATTTAGTGTACCTCTCATTGGAGTTGACCATAAATTGGTAGAATTCAGTGTCATCTTTGATTATGTGCAGTGGGACTACTTCTAAAACATCCCTGTCTGTGTTCTTCAGTTGGTTCAGTTTCAGGTTGACTTTGAACATGTATTCTCTAACTGCATCTGAGCCTGGCTTCAGGTCACGACACACTATGTACCTGTGAATGCAACAACAAGACTATTACATTGTTCCAGCAAACACTATAATGAGCATATATAACATATAATACAATATAGGATATATTAATATGTCTGTATACCTCTCAGAATTAGCAGGTCGGCTTGTGACAGGTTTAAAAAGTGTTATTCTCTCAAAACAGAGGTACATTAGGTAAACTAGCCCCACACTGAAGGACGTAAACAAGTCAAATGTCTTACAGACAAAGTGCCCACCTGAAAGATACAAATATGGTATATTTAGATAACATACGGATATTATACTTAACTTGCTTTGGCACACTAATAACTCACATACCAGTCCTAAGAGTTGAAATGGCTGTGAGAAACTGACAGAGTAACAACTGTTTCGTTAAAATCTCCTGAAGGTTTTCTTGACCCTCCACAGAGAACCCCTACAAAACATATATTTTATTATTAAACTGATTTACAACATCATAATAAACACAAATACAAGTGTGTAATAGAGAGGCCATACTCCATCTGCCATAAGAAAATGCAGCCCTTTTCCCTCTGTACTTTCTAGCACAAAATTTCGGAAAGCTGTGATGTTTTCTGGCCGTGTGATGTCCCCATCTCCATCTATACCTCCTTCACCTATGTCAGACAGAGGGCACCTGCTTTTTGATAACATAATTTATACTGTCCAAAATGTCCCAATATATCCATGTCCTTGACTGGTGTTTTTGTTGTTTGCGTACATACCGTAGTAGGGCTCAAAGAGTTCACTCGGTGCTGCATAAAAATCTTCAAGTTTAAAGTCACAGGGACCTTTCAGGGTCATGCCAAAGCCTTTAGCATGCCAGCCTTTCCTCCACAAAATGTATTCTGAAAAACCTCCCGGCCCTGCGCAAACATCTCCAAAGTACAAGAGGTCACCCTCTCGGTCCTTTATCATGGGTTTCTAAAAAAATGGGACAACACAACATTAGTCTTACTTAGGTTGTGGCGTGTCATACAGCACATGTACGCACTCCTTGTGGATCCTTAGGGTTGGTGAACATATGGTCGAAGCAGTGGTCAATATTGGCCATTTTCATAGCTGCCCTAAAAGCACATGATAAAATGTGATTTGTAAATATGTCACTTGCCTGTCATGCAATGGTTAAGCAAAAGTCTAACCTGTTAAGGAAGATCCCTCCTCTAATTGTTTCATATGGATTGGAGCGAGTACGTGCTCTCCTCATCTCTTCACCTTCTAGATCATCGAATACTGTCTAAATAATCAACATACATTTACAACAAATTAATCTAATTAATTACAGTTCTTAAATAAACCGTAATCCTAAAATATACACAAACTGTACATGTAACACTTTAAATATAAATATAACATATGTTCAATTGAATTAAATCACTTGGTGATGCTTAAATACTTGCCTTGCATCTTAGAAGAGTATGTAAAAGGTCTTCAGTGCAAAACTCTGTCTCATCCTCAATTTTCATTTTTATCTGATGTGAAGCAAGTTTTTAAAAAAAGGCTTATTAAGACGCCACAAGAGAATGAACAACAGTAGCTGTGGTTTTACCGGGCCAGTAAGCATCCAATCCAGAAGTTCATGCGAATCCGGCATCTCTGTAGTGCATTCTGGGAACCATTCAACTTTTTCGATTGCACTTGGCTTGATAAATAAAACACAATAAAATGATTTTACATACACACATCTGAATATGACACAGTGATAATTCTGCTACCTCAGGTTCATCGCGCCAGTCAATATTAAGCTCCCCCTGAAAGCCCTGGAGTGTCAGACCAAGACCTCTTCTCCCTCTCTGTGTTGATGCTTCTACGATCTCTTTCCGTCCCTGGCCAAACTTTCCCAAGCCTTCCCCTTCACGGAAGCCCATTTTGGCCTGACAATGGAATAAATATGTTTTAGTGTCAAGTTATATACAACAACATCTTTTGGCAGTCATTGAGGTTTACCATAAGCTTCTGTGAGACGCTGTTGTACATGGAAAATCTGGATGAGGACTGGGTAGCACTGTCTGCTTCTGTAGCGTTAAAAGATATAGATGGCATAGAGAAACTTGGTTTGTGGTCCTCTTGATCACTGAGGGACTCATTCTGACTGGAGTCTAAAATAAAGAAAATAAGACCCAATATGTAATATAATATAAGACAACAGTTAAAGGACAAAGCATATCTTAAAAAACAGTTTTTACCTTGTGCAGACAGATCAAGATCTGAGCTGCTATCATCACGTCTTTTCTTTGCGTCCACTGGTGACAGCTGTCCTTCATTTCTTCTCTTTCTGTTCATTTTTGCTACAAAAGATTTAAAATTTAGTTGTTGCAGTGCCAAGAAAAAAATTATTTCAAATGAAAAAATAAATTGCTCTAAAAATAGGTTCATGCCTTCACGACAGTGTTAATCATGTCGTGTCTACAAATACACATAAGTTGCATACTTTTTAATGTGGTACTCATGCTTTTTAGGATATTCTGAAAAAAATGTTTCATCAATGCCTCTGCAACATATTCAAGCCGATAATAACATTAGTCTATTTCAGCCTACAGACGCGGTGTAAAAGCAATTATTGTAAATATCCAAAGCCTGATAGTCGATATCTTTGTAATGTTTTTATGATAAAAAATAATGCACATGCAGAAGCCACAAGCTTGCTAAGTTAGCATATTGCTTTTACCAGCTCAGAAGAACTTCACTCTTTCTTTGTAAAGAAGATAGACAAAGTAATGTCAATAGGCGGATCAATATTTCATTTTTAATAGTTTGATGCCATTGTTAAGACGCTGTAAACGCGTTGTTTTTAAATGTTCGCGTTAGCTCCGCGCTCAGTTTTGGAGCTACACGGGTCCTTCTTTTCAACTGGCGCACATGGATGACGTATAGTGCATCAAAACAAAAACATGGGAAAAAATATAACCTAAAAAGGCTTATTTGGGTTTGCCATAACAAACTAGAAGATAAATTACTATTTAGATCTACAACAAGCTAATTAGTTACTTCATTAGGAAACTGTCAATATGCTATCACTACAAGAAGCATTACACAGTGAATTGAAGTCTGCTCTGGGACTGTCATGTTCTGATCTATTGATTGGTAAAAGTAAGTATTTTATGTGTAGTTTTGAATTAAATTCATGTGTGTACATTATCTCTTTATGAAAAAAAATCTAAATATATGTGACTTAGAAAAGTGTAAAATCATGTCATTTTACATTATGAATGAAAGTTTGTTTGTCTTTTCAGTTGAAGCTTTTCCTTGTGACCTTATAATGATTCAGACGTCAACCTCTGACATTCTTTAATGAGGTTACTTGACTCTTCCCTTCATTTTAGGCTACAGGGAACATCTCTAACAGGTTCAGTATATAAACCCATTGGAACTTCACTGTCCAAGGTTAGCTAATCCCCAAGTGACACAAATGCTCATATAAACAAGGAGTCCTACCCATGTGACCACCAGCTTACACAGCGTCACCAAGTCTTTATAAACCACACATGGGACGACTCCTACGGGACATCACGACAGGCCAGGTGTGTGCTCTCTGAACCAGGGGGCAGCGTGTCTCCGGACACCAGGGAGAGCTGCTTTTGAAACTCCCAAAAGCAGGAGAAGATCAAGGGAAAAGGAAGCAGAGGAAGTTGCCAAGCAGAGGGTCCTAAGGGCTTTTTGGCTGCACTGCATTCATCCCAGCTGTAAGAGACTTTGGAGACATTCACCATGTTTTTTCGCATCCTTCCTCGATTGACCCCTGGATATATCAGATACCTCCAGGTGCGTAAGATGCTTTGGATAGATTTTGTACTTTAATCATTAAGTGGCTTATTGATTTAGAGTTCAAAGGACATCTGTGCTGGAAGCATGCCACTGGCTCCTCTGCACCTGTAATGTTCTAAACCTTGACACACATGTTAATCTGTTGTTTATTTTTGCATATTTTTTATCAGTTTTTTTTTTTTTAATTCAATTACACTGTAATATAGTTACATTTATTTTAAACAAATGTTTCATAGCTCTTGTATTGTTGAAGGTAGACGTTTGTTTTTGTGTGTGTCATCAGTACTTAGCACAGGGGATTACAATGGCCTAAGTTTGAATGGATTTAAATGTAAGATGTCTTGGCTCCCTGTGGTCTACTAAATGCCTCCTAATAGGATCTCAGGAAGTGTGTGCATGAAACCCTCCACATCCACTGAGGTTTTTCTGAGAGCTGCAGCTGGATATAGAAACCTTTGACCTGTCTCTGCTTAATTAATAGGCCATGGCATGTCAACCTTCTTTAAGTGTTACTTATAGGTACCTCTAAATAGACAAATTGTGTAAAGTGTAGTAGTGACACAAAAATAACAACTTCAAATACTGGGTCCATATTTCTGTATTTCTGGGTGCTTTACCAGAATGGAGGATTTATAGAAATGAAAAATACACAGACAAGAATAACAAAAAAGGCAAACACATAACTAGTTTTTGTCTCCTTATTTCCATTCACGGCAGACAAACAATGCTTTACATATGAATAAAAAGGTACCCAAAGTTTGTGCCCAAATGGATCCTGTTCCGTATTGTGATCCATGTTTTGTGCTTTTTCAGACCCAGGCAGCTCAGACCGTCCTGCAGCCCCGGGATGGCCCTTTGATGCCCCGCACAGCTCTCCTCCTGGGACTGACGGGCGTGGGCATGTCCGGATACAGCACCCGCCAGCTCACTCTCAACTACAAGCCTGCCAGTCACCTCTTTAAATAAGATGCATAGTCATGTAAAATATTTTTTTTATTATTACACCCATAATACATCTGTGGTTTAAGTCTAACATCATCCTAGTTCTGGTTTATTAAGTTATTGCCTTAAGGTTTAAGTTTGTGTGAATAAGTGGATATGTCCCACATTAAAAACTACCTCAGGTCTAACACGTTGTATGTGAGCATGCAGTGAAACAGAAAGGCAGCTATGGATGATATTTTTATTGAATTATTTGGATGATCTCAGGCTTGAACCACTTTTTGTAGCTAATGTCATATATTTTTTAACATTTGCTTAGAATAATGTACTTAAAATGTACTTTCAAATAAGCATAAATGTCTGATTAATTTCTATGTCCATCCTCAATTGGAGTGACAAATGATCCGAAGCAACATTCACTTCTTCAGAGGATCAAAGTTCAAATAACATTTTCTATTTGATTCTGGAATTTGATTGTTGAGTTCAGATATTTGCCTCCTGCAATGTATTATTCTAAATTCTTAAGAATTCTAAATCATTCATGGTGAGGGTGCCAGGTAGCTGTGCATAATCCTCCTTGCTAAATTAATATATATATGTATATAGTTATGGTTATGATGTATTTGCACATTAATGTCCCACCCTTTAAATTCTATGCACTTTACTGATGTGTAATATGCTGTATATATGCAATACATATCACTTGATGCTGAATGAGATTAGTAGAACTGACATTGTACACTAACAGCTTTTGTCTTTTGCTGGGCTGGGGGACTTCTGGCTGTATTGACTCTTTTGAAGGGTAAGTAACCTGGACAACCACCCTGGATACTACTCTGTGAATGAATGCACCTGGGAGTCCCCCTTTAGAGTGGCATTGTCAAGAGATTTGAAAGTAGATGACTGGCTTTAAAAGCCTCCTAATAGATATAGAACATATTTTGTTAATTTATTACATGCTTTATGCCATGCTTTACTGCTTTACCTTGACAGCGATTGAATGTACCACTGACAATGAATGTTAATAGGTTAGATGGAACAGTATTTTTGTAGTTGAGGATTTGGCCATTTTAGACTGGTGTACTGATGTACCAAATGAAAAAATCCAGCTCTAAAATAATAACCTCTCTATCTCACAATGGTGACGCAAACGAATAAAAATAAAAAAGGTTGCAAGGTTAGAGCACCAAGGCTGTGATCCTATTAGGGTCAATGTCATTTATAGACTGGCTTAAACCTGTATATAAGAGAGGTCCTTGACTTGAAATGGAGACAAGTAAGTGTGACAAAGCAAAAAGAACTGTTATTCATAGTACTCCCTTTGACATGACAAACAATGTTGCGTACAAATTGTAAATTCTCATTCTGTAATATTTAATTTACAGATTTTCTTTAGTTTTCATAAATTAATTCTCAAATGCATTAGACAGTATTTCCTTTTTGTGAATCGTCCACAGATACCCCACAGATTCTTCACTGTTGTATGTTGTTGGTTTGTAACAGTTATGTATTTTTAATATTTTGCATATTTGCACATTGGAGTATTTATACATGATTTGTAATGTGTTTGATTGTTTGAAAAAGCACCTTTGGATTGCTATGCAACAATTAAAGTTAATGTATGGCAGAATAAAACTGCATTTGTGTTATAAATGAATTACAGTTCTCTTACTTTACTCTAGGTGTCACCAAAGATTTCATTACTACTGGGGTGCAACTACAAACAAGCCCTCACCATGTTCAAATGTTGTCCTCATCTTATGAAATCACCTGCCTCAGTTTAACACATTCCACTAAATTCTTAATGCACAAGATCAATTTTTTTTTTTTATCCTTACAGTGTTGTAGTGGCATGATCAGTCACACAAACTGTTTCAGTAAATACTGATTTACTATACTGTCACTAAACTATTTCAAATTTGCTCACACAAAATGTATGGACTGGGTATGTTTGCTCTTTTCTGACCCAGTTCTGATGTGTAAGCAGCTTTAGGTCCAAATAGCTCCTTGTCAAATCCAGTCTGGGTTACCATTATGATGCAACACAGAAACCGTTATTCAAACAACAAAATATTACAAAATACTGTAAATAAATCCAATGGAGGTCTCACCTGCACAAGCCCTCAGCACAAGGAAAAAATTCTGCACACAACTTTTTGCACTCTCTAACCCCATCCAAGTTCACACACAGGCAGCCATTGTGTGTCAGTTTCAGTGACTGGTACCTGAGCGGGCTTATATTTCTCCACATAACAAAGAACTGAATGTTTTTTGCTGGAGGAGAGAAGGATGAGACGGAGTGAAGGACGTATCCATGGGGTCTGTACCGCTGCTCACATAGGCTATTGCTACACACAAGTAATCACTATCACACTATCATATATCTTCTGCCTTTGAGAAGCAGACTAACGGTGTTCAAACTTTGCAAAGGAATTGTATATGTCGTCTAATTTTTATAACTATAATGCCATCAGGGGTTTCAAGTGACAGACCAATTCCATGACAATGATTTTACAGTTCAAATAAGGGTTGCAGTACATTTTTCACCAGAAGCAACATTATGCACCAGGTGGAAAAGCCCATGATGGTTCAATTTGACCTCTATCCAGTTTTGTTGGTGTCCGTGGGCAAGACATTTCAACCGCCTTGCCCACAATGTCTATATGTACACTGGTATATGAATGAACCATTCAATGTGTTTACATATGTCTTATGTATGCTCAGTGACTCACATGCAGCAAACAAAACATAGTGTGTTTTGAAGCTTAATATCAAGCTCTAATTGCCAAGGATAGGGTAGTGCTATGTGAGAATAGGATTCTTCAAGCAGTTGACCTCAAAAACCACTAACATGCTGAAGAATGATGCAGCACTCCTCCCCGTTTAGCCTCTGTATTTGTGGAAATGCTTCGTCACTGCTCTTAAGAGTCTCTTGTTAACCAGCGGAAGAGCTTATCCTGGTGCTAGGAGTGCTCTCAACCACCAGCTCATTAAAACTCATCTTAAGGCCACGCATCATTAGTGGCTTTTTATGAGCTTCTGTGTGCATGTGTTGTCATGCACACTTAGGCATCAGCACTCTTCACATTAGCTAATTGTCAACTCATTGTGTCCCAGAGCAACAATTCTATTTAAGGTGCATGTGGAAATAAGAAATAAAGAGGTAATTGAGAATGCAAATTGGTACCATTTGTTAAGTGATGAATGCAGCAAAGATCTTAGGCTATATCTTCAATAAAATCACATATCATATTTTTTAAAAACTGAAATACATGTTTGATCTTCTAAGAATGAGGAATATTGAAAATAAAATCACCTAAATGCAACATTAAAACCCCGATGACAGTTTTACCATTTTGCCAAATTAAAATAAAGAGGTAAATGGCAAAAGATTTTAAGGCAAATGTTAGGTAAATCAAAATGACTGTAATTGTTGGTGGTTTACTGCAGGCTTTCAATATTGCTTGAAATTGCAGAGTTACAGTTTGCAAAGTTGATCCCAATCTATAATTATGTTTCCAATGTTCTGCTGAAGGATTTACCAAGTCTTTTGTATCGTTGACAGAGTGATTGCATCAAGGTAAAGTAAGAAACAATACAAAAAAGATATATACGTTGTGGTTTGTTACATCTTAAACTTGTGACTGTAGAATGTACAGTGCAGTAATTAAAGCTTTAATCTGTACTTGGCTGAGGTTGTTTGATGTGGCCCCCATTTCTGAAGAACCCAGTGACCCGCCAATCTCTTCAGAGAAATGTTGAGTCATTGTTAATCTCTGCTAGCCCCGCCCACTGCTGGGTTAACATTATTCAGCAAAATAGTGTCCAAATTGACACTCTGTGTTCCAGGACATTTTAGATTGTTTTTCTAGCCACTATCTTGTATGTATTTGTTTGTATGTCCTTCAAAGTTGCAAAAAAGCACCAATAAGCGATTGAGCTCACTGTTAATTTAAAGTTGTCTGCTCCAGAGATGTCCTAGACATAGACAGGATAATCCCAGTTGGGTCAGGGCCCTCAGTGCCTCCTTGACCCTGTCGTGGTTGAGCTGTCCACAAACTCAGTGGTCAAAGCAGGTGACACCAGAAAAAAATGAAGCTACTGCTGTGCAGGCTGTAGCTGAGATTTGTAAAGCTAGTGTTCCCCAAAACAAGTGTCTTCCACTAATTTTGACATTTTGAACATTCATGCAATGCTTAATACATCTGGTGAACATTTTTAATATAATGATATTAGTCTTCAGTAAGTCTTTTATAAATTGTAGCAGTATAGTCATCTAGACTACTTATTTAAAAAAAAATCTGACTTGAAGTTACACATAATCGATCCTTTACATCAGCCATAGACGTAAATAACCACTTAGGAGATAGTGTAAGAATGTGTATCCAGACTTGGACAGTTGACCGGCACTGATGGCTTGAGGGGCCAAGGGTCAACCACACACCCACTTAACTGTGATAGAAACATCTTAACAGACATTACAGTGTTACCTAACCTGGACCTGGCCTCTGTGTGGCCATGTAAGATCCACAGATTTCAGACCCACAGTATCTGTATATCATAAATCAATATTTCTTTCCTTCACTAGATCACTTTTCTGGTGAGGGGTCCACAGCCTGCTTTTCTTCATGACGATGTTTGTTTGTTCCAGATCTTTGTCTGGAATGTTCCACAGTGTGACATTAAACAAGACAAGCTGGTGACACCGTATTTGGGGATAACAACTGCAAAGCAATCACATATCCATCGAGACAGGCAGGTGTTAGACCCTCCACCAGGAAAATTACACACTGAACCTTTCAACAAAATCCACACACCATGATACTAACCCATGTCATGAGTTATTATTTATTTTTAAAAAAATATATAGAATGGTACACACATGTTGAAACATGGTTACCGAGAGTACAGAGAGTACTTAACACATGTAGAATCAGGTCATGGTTGCATCACAATCCATATTCCCTCTGGAGTGAGGCATGAATGAAAGGCTCTTTACATCAGGTGAGTGTTTCTAATCGGGGCTAAACTGTGCCTCTTTTGGTCAGCCCACAGAATAATGTACTATTTGTTTTACAGTGGCCTCACCAGTCAGAGAAAAAACTGATTTGTGGAGTTCTTTGCTGTAAATCAGAGTTAGTGTTAATTTATGCACATTAATAGGAGTTTAAATTCATATCATTATTGGTACTGGCTTTGTGATTTATGGAAATGTAATTATCTTGTATATAGATAAAATGTGAGTTGATATAACTTACTTACTTAATTGCTGACTGTTAATTGTTAAATTGTAAAAATAGTGACTATTACTTAATATTTTGTCAGCCTGTATTTACTGGCCTATTATTACTCGGTTTATTGGGACGTTTCTATTGTCCAAGGTAAAACTGAATAGGCTACCCAGTGATAAAGACTAGGCTACTTATAAAAATATCCCACTGTCCCTTCCTCCTCTTGCCATGGCAACATTTGGGACCCAGAGGAGAGTGGGCAGGGCATAGTGGGGTGCTGGTGGGTGGGGCTCTGTTTTAGGTCTCGGTGGTTTGGCGTGCGCACATCTCCAAACGCACGCCAAAACACCATGCGACCAAATAGCAGGCAGCGTGTGTGAACTGTGAATGAGTACGCGTCGTGCCTCTGCTACTTCGCTACCTTCGTAAATCCTTTGAGCAAAACAGAAGACAATTTGGGATTTTTCGTCGCCATAATTTACAGGAAGAAAACGTTTTTGGGTCTGTCATTGAAGGAATATGTTTAAGAAGAACAAAAGCAAAGTGCTGGTGGATTATGCCTCAGAGGAAGACGACATGTCCTGGCATTATCATCACTCTTATAAGGTAAAGATGCGATCAGGACGCAAAAACAGAAGCCTGGTTAAGCGTCTTAAAGTTATCACACACTTCATCTTAAGTACATAATTTTCTCTTCAACTGTTATTCATTTTCCTAATTTTGTTGCTTTTTCTCCACTGTCTGAGATAACAAGAGACATTACTTGATGACATAGTATTCTTCAAAGAGTTTCAAGTGCCATTTATGAGTAGCTTTTGTAAACTTTTCTTGGTGATGGGGGAGGGAAGAGAAGCCTAACTCAGATGTCAAGTCAGCTGATGGGGGGAGAGCGTCTCAAATACATGACAGATCTAAAGAAAATCATCATTTGGGCTATTTAAGTAAAATGAGTCTTAAGAAGAGAAAAATGTAGCAAGGAGTAGGATACATCACTTTTTGACTTAGACTTGGATACTTTCCAGTCTGTTTTTTAACAAATTTGAAGTTGGTGGGTCAGTGGGGGGTCTCTTTACAAGCAGCTGTGTCCTCTCAGGGTGTCGAAGATGCAAGTGTTTACATATAATCGGTCTGTAAAACTCAGTAGGGAATAATGGAGTAAAAAGTGGATGTTATCTTATTGCACTAGTAGCCTATTATGATTATTTATGTCAGTATTTGTTTAAATTGTGCTTATATTGTATTTCATATTCTATGAAGCATTTTGAATTAATTTGTCATCTAAATAAACATATCTTACCTATTTGAGCCAGCTGGATAGCCTAACTGAAAAAGAAAAGTTTACAAGGCAAATCCAGACTTCCAAATATTATGCCAGCTCAAATGTATGATGTGTAATGGTATGCTTTTATGGTGTTTGACGTTGCCAATGATTGCAATGGAATCCTGCAAGTCGTTTATGGCTGGGCAATGACAAAAAAGAAGAAAAATCACAATGTTTTTCCTCATTGAAAGGTAAAGGTGGTCAGTCTTTTTGAAATGAAAATGTCTTTCAGTGTTAATTTCCAGATTGTAAATAAGATATGTTTTGAATCATTGCCATTTAACACAAAATTCTCTGCTCCAAACATGCTTTTTCTGACAGAGGATTGACTGCACAACTCTTATTAAAAAGACCACTGATCATTAACAGAATCTTTTGTGAATATATGCTGTCAAGTTTCATTTATTCAGGCTATTTTGCAACCACTGACTTTACAGATAGTAGTACAAATTAGCATTTTAGTGCATATTCATCTGACATTCGGCATGCTGTTACTCCCAAGTCCTTATTTATTGAAAATCTCCCTATTTCTTTACAACATTGACGCAATATGAGCTTACTGGACTACTTTCTGGACAACATCACATGGTCTTTACCTCAAAGAGCTGCTCTAAGCTCCTTTTTGGATGCCTTAACAGTGGGCACCAGGACCAGATTACAGCCCAAGTTATAAAATCCTGGGAAAGTAAGCTGTTTAGTCTTCCCTGTGTAAACGAATCGCAGTGATGACGTGCATATGAACTACGGGTCAACATTAGGGTCAATAATGTTACGTTGAAGTTGAGATAAAATTGTGGCTGAAAAGATATGGCGTGTAGCTATTTCAATGATGTTGAAAAATCTCAGTTTAAGTTTACTTTGTGGTTTTCTTTTCTAGAATTTTTTGTCTCTATTAGCCCTGACTGAAATGTACACGATAACGCAACCAAAACTTTCAGATATAAAAATTCTTGATTCAAGGACAAAATGGTGCGGTAAATCATTGTAGTTTATGTACTTTTAATTTGTACATGCACAATCTATACTAGTATTTCCACAACTGCTACTACTTATATTACTACTGCTTCTTTTACTACCTGTTACAAAATCTACTTCCAGTTCCAATTAAGAGGTGAGGTAAACTGCTGGTCATAAATTTGATTACATGTTATATTGATTATAGTTTGTTCATTGTAAACAAAATCTAGCCTCTTTCTTAATACGTCACATATTTCTTCGTCAGAATGTCATTTTAGTTGGATTTGAGTAACTTTCCAGGGCCAGACAAAGGCAGTTAAGAAGCTAAGTGGGGTAAAAGTGCTGAGGGCAGATAATATTGCAGATCTGTAGTCAATAACCATGCTCCCTGCAGTGTGCTCTGGGGCACTTAAGGCTCTCTGCTGTAACCTGTTTTCCATTCTTTATTAAAGTTTGACAGCCCGTTTCTGCTTGTGTCTATGGGACTGTGGCTTATTGAAGCAGACTTAATAACAGCACTATGGGACTCTCTCAGTGGTCAGATCTTATGTTTGTGAATCAGAAGGATGAAATCTGTACAAAAACATGGATTATGCAATGACTGTGATGAACTTTGCAACTGCCAAGATCCCATCTCTTATCCAAAATTTCTTGTAATCCTGTGTGCTAGGTTCAAGGCAGCTTTCTGATTGGATGAAGCACAGTTAAATAGTTTCCACTGAAGAAGAGCAACAAGTATTTTGGCATCATATGTGTAATGTAGTGCAGATTGATACAACACTGTTATGAAAATTCAGAACTCATGACTCCTTGATTGATGTCCATGTAACCAGCCAACACTTCTCATCTGTCACTGCTATTCTGCCGTGAAGTGTTTTAAACATGGATCAGGCGCTACTTGGCTAAATAGTTAGTTAAGTTATTATTAACTTAACATCCATCTGAAACAACAGCGTCTTTGGCTTGTTTGATATGTGTCGTGGGGATTTCTGGTACCAGCAAAATGTTTATTTTTGACAGTAGTTTCAAAAGTTGTCAAACTAGTTCAGAATCAGGTTAGGTTTAAGCACAGGGTCATGGAAATGGTTATGGTTATGAAAGGGGTTACATTAAGTTTAGGATGTAGGTTAGATTTAGGAACATGCCAGGTTAAGGTTAGTTTACATGCTGGCAACAATAAACACAGAAGAAAATAATGTGATAATTAGAATAAAAGAACAGCTTAGGTCTGTTTTAAAAGAAACAAAAGTTCAGAACCATTCAATATTAGACGCTTTCATGCATTACCATGAAAACCAGTGGGGTTGGTTAGGGTTAGCAAAAAGTTATACAGACGCTCCCAATAGTTATTCAAGGTTTTCTGCTTATGTGGATTGTTAATCGCTACTACACCCATTCAACTATAGATCTTTGTACACCCATCAACTTTCAAGCCTTCTCTATGGAAAAAGTAAACATATATTGAAATTGGGATGATGAATATTCTTTGTTGCCCAGTTAAAATATTTACCAGTGTCCTTAGCCCGCTTCTGTGGTGGAGACATTTTAACACACAACCAGATTGAAGAAGAATTGCCCCCCTAAGCTACGAAAGCAGTCTGCTTGTTTTGTGTAACCATACTCTACTCCGACCCCCTCCCTCTCCTCTCTTCTCCTCTCTTCTCTCCCTTCTCCTTCAGTTTTAATACTTTGAGCTAGCAATCGGTCTTTGATCAGTGGAGGTGGCACAAACCCACAATCCTTTGCTCAGACAAGTCAAACTAGCATCTCTCTGTTTAAGTTGTTCAGTGTTGGAAGCTTTGATGACTTTACAGGAATCCTTATCCTGGCTGTGAGTCAGTAATCTCTTTACAGTGGCCTCTTCTTATGATTAAATGCTACTGGATCGTGTTCAAGACAACTGCTTTGGTCTAAGGCAGTCATATAAGGCAATATGATTACACAGAGATCCTTTCTTATTTAAAGGGACTATATTATGTTATTGTCTGATCTGTGTTATAATGTTGTTTCCTCATCAAAAACAAAACCTGTTGGATTTTTGTTTTATTCACACACAAACCTGCATACTGAAGCTGAGATCTTCCCTCAAACAGGAAACACTCAACAATACAAGACAATACAGGAAGTGCTTCCCTGTGTTGTTAAACTCCATACACCTTCACTAGAATAATTTGGATAATTTAAGACTCTACTGAACAAAGGGTAAAAGGTGGCTGTTATCTTGAAAATTACCACTTCTCTGTACTGTTCTCATGCATCAGTTGACTTTCTTGAACTATTTACATTGTTCTAACAGCTTGTAATCATAGTCCATTCCTATGACGACATTTTCATTTATGGTTTGCTAAAATTGAGGTGGGAATATATATTATATATATATATATATATATATATATATATATATATATATATATATATATATATATATATATATATATATATATATATATATATATATATATATATATATATTTTAAACTGTGATAATGCCATTTAGTTTAGTTTATTTGGGGTTTTGTACATTACATGTGTACTCTGAAGCATGCATACAGTAGCTCAAAAGGAGTAGGCTGAAGCAAATGCCCATTTGCACTTACTCCCATACAATACTATTTACTATATACTACAGTACTATATACAGTGATATTATGGCTATATGCAAAATCTGAATATCAAATTTGGATAAAAGAAACAAATCCTCCACAAAAGAGATGACTGAAAATGAAAAAAACTTCAAAGTAAATGCATAATGTGATATTTCTGCCCATTTCTGGGTAATTGAATTAGTCCTTTCACATTTGTCTGATACTGAAACCTCAACTATATATTTTAGCAAATTTGTATTTAACTCACATAATATTGTCATTGGAGTACTTCATAAATATATATACATTTTTGTCTATATATGTATTATAGAGCAACAATGTGTGAAATAATTTTGGTTCAATTAGACAAAAATAAACAGGAACAATATAAAGGAAATTCTAATATAGTCGTGTCAGACAATAGCTTAATAAAAAGCAGTTAATGTGTATATTTTGGCACTTGAGAGCACAATGGGACCAAAATAGCCAAACTCATATTAGCAAAGCATAAGACAATAGACCATGACTTATTCTGTATATTTTGTTTGGATCTGTGTCTGTCTCTCTCTCTTCTGCCCTCACATTGTTTATACTGCTGCTCTTAAAAGGGTGCCCGTCTTTACCAGGAAGTACTGCACACTCCGTAAACACCACAAGTATTCGTAGTACTTTGCTTCGGGGGTTGTGTTTGGACTAACTGTGTGCTTGTGTGCGTTTCAGGACAAAGACGTAGAAGGAGAGGAAGAGGAGGAGGAAGCCGTTACCGTGGTGTCAAAGGTAAACACTGACACCAGACAAGAAGTACAGACACAAGGAGCTAAGGATGCAAAACAAATTCTTCATTATTATGAGATGGGTTAAGGATGCACTATTAACTTTTCTGGTGTGGGGGGCTGTTATGTCCTTCTGTATGGAGAGTATGGAATGTACTACAGTATACCACTAAATTGTTTCTCTTTTTTCTACTTTGCATTCATTCATTCCAACTTTCAACTTCAGCTTTCAAGTTTCAACCTTTAAATTTCAACTTAATTATTGTCCCAAAGGGAAGTTGATATGCAGCATTGTCAGACATAGCCAGGCTGGTACCACCTAGTGCCTTTGCTTGATTTGATTTCTCTCCAGCGACTAGATCAGGAATCAGAATACACTAGACGGTTTGCAAGAACCCCAGAAGGTGTAGACTGCACACCGGCCAATCAGCAAAGAACTGTGAAGCCATGACTTGGTCCCTCTTTTGTGGTACAGCACAACAGTAAACAAAGTAGTTGAGATGGATGTAGATGAAGCCATGCATTCTGTGTTGGCAACGATTCCTGAGATCGTTTGGTGAATTTTATCAAGGGGAAAGACGTTATTGCCCTTCTTCCTACAGGATTTGGGAAAAGCTTAATATACCTGTTAGCCCCGTTAGCGGCGCATTACATATGTCACGACCAAATAGCACCAATTGGTTAAATAACAAAGTACCCAGCTATCACTGAGCGAACGAATCCTAATGCTGTGAGGTCAGATGGTTTCGATGAAGTGAAACTGGCTGATAAATCGGGCTATGTCAGACATACAGTAGACATACAACACAATGCAATAGTACACTTTTTCGAGCCTTGCAAATCAACCTTCTGCTGTAGACTGCTGTAAACTTAGAATTCCACCTGCCACTTTGCCTATCTGAGCCAGATGATTTCTACTGGACACAGAGAAGGCGTTAAACCAACAGACAAAAATGCTCAAAAATGCCCTGTTCATGGGATTGCCTCTCCACAGATCATATAACGTTTTGGTTAAGTATTTGTCACTTTTGTTTATAAAAGTTTAGTTCAAGTAAAGGCCCTGTCTAGTAGGTTTACGTACCCTATATGCATAATTGGAACCAAACTGGTATTAAACCCAGAACTAAAGTTCAATTAAATCAGAACTAACCCAGTCTATAACAGGACCAAACCAAGTCCTGATCCTGGTTTAGTTCATGTCTACAAAATCACTATTGCCGCTTTGCCTTAGTAATGTAATTCAACTTACTGTATCCACTTATCATGATACGTTTTTCTATTATTGAGCCATGCAGTGCCACTATGGACATTTTGTTTATGTTCACTTTACGCAGTTACAGAATTGTTTTGTCTGAGATAAGCCAAGACACTCTTATCTAACCCTACTCACAACCAGCTCATATCAGGGCGCTAAAGTCAACTCAAAATGTGAAAATTCTGTCTTATGTCTGCGGTATCTGTCTATATCTCCTCTTTGTGACCTCAGCTGCCAAAATCACACACTTCAGATACTCCTAGGTTGTATGTCTTGTTATATCATCTGGGTTGAGGAAAAACAGACTATGCTGAGGATGCACTGTATATCTATAAACATGCCTATGCCCCATCCTTATCTCTATCAAAACTGTCTGTTGTTATGGAGCAGTTTGGGCGACTAATGTTAAATTCTTGTAAATGTGAAGTCACAACACAACATATAATTACCTGGAATGGAAAATCGAATTCACAGCATATTCAGGCAAAGATTATTTTGGAAAAATGTCCCTATTTTCTCTTTTGGATTTTGGTCTGCAAAATGTTTGATTGAGTTTCATTATGTTCAACCAATATCCTGGTAGCACCTGTGATTTTTCTTGCCTTTTTGAACTTTTATTTTTATACAGTGCTGCTCTGTAGTTACAGAGGATTAATAGTAATAGATAAACAGCTATGTAATATATTTGGATGAGTTATATTAAACAAATGCATTTGCAGTTGCTGCCTTGGTATGGCTTGGTATTGGGTATTGCCAGATACTTAAACCAAAATAATGATATATTGTACGAAAACTAAGGCAAAAAGCAAAAAAAAAAGATTCAAATTTTTTTCCTCATATAAACTGATTTGATTTAAATTTATTTAATTTAATTTAGTTTTATATAGTTTTTTAGTTTAATTTGGTCTTGTCATGATTAATATATAAGTAAAAGCAATACTTTTTAGCACACAAATAGTCCATTTGTTCCATTTATTACCCTCAGCATATCATTGACTTTTAGAAATGACTGAATTCCGGTCTATTAAAATTAAAAAATGCTAACTGCATAGTAAGGGCAGAAGTACAGTCGTCTAATTTATCGACAGGAATTTATAAGTGAATTGTGAAAATCTTTGTATCAATTCCATGTTTTGGGCAGAATGTCTGATGTACCCATTGAACATTTGTCCTTATGACCCTTGTCCTTCTCACACTGGTGCATTGTGTGGCCTCAGTAAATATAGATGCTCAGTAGGTTCTGCAGTTCACATGACTTATTTGTGGGGCTGTCCTGTTTGCAAGGATAAGGCGCTTGGACATTGGCGGGAAGGAAACGCCACATTCTTTCTAGGAGCAGAACACTTCACACACAGAACAATTAGTGAGCATGAAACCCGCTTAAAATAGCTCGCTGACACTTTCCAGTGGCTCCTGAGCTGCTATGTGCTTTTATGTCCCTATTAGGATAGACAGAGGGATGGAGAGGAGTGCAGCTTCTTGAAACGCAAATAAAACACATGATCCTGTCACCTGCTTGTTTCCATGGGGATGTTACTGCGTTTGAATATGACTTTGCATAACTTTGCCTCTTGCATTTTTTCAGTTACCTGAGCTGTTTTTATTACTCAAAAAGTACTTTGCTTGCATCTCTGTAACTATCCAGTTTATACCTTTATAAGTTTATACATGGAACATTCCAGGTTGCCAGCAGCTGGCAGATGCTCTACCCAAAAAAGTGACATTGTTTAAAATAAACAAGGTGTAATATTTTTTGTTCTAATTGTAACTTTTTTATTGGCGGTCCGTCACCTGCTTATTTCTATGGATATGTCATTGCTCTGCCTGGAAAGTTCCACATTGACATTAAACAGCTCTACCTTATACTTATTCAACTACAGGTGGCTTTATAACAAAAAAAAAAAAAAAAAAAAAAAATTGTAGAAAAACAGGCATTCTGACTGTGAGCGGGGTTGCCTGTCCACAGATATGACCTGTAACTTGGTCTGATTTGGTCTCCATGAAGGTCGAAAGGTTTAATACCATACAGTGAAACATTCCACATAAAGTAATAACGTCTCCATGGAAAAAAATCATTTCTTCATGAGAAAAGTTACACAATGCACCTTTAAGATTACTTTAAAACTGATGAAATATTGACTAAACATCCAAACCACTTATTTCACGCGGAATTGGAAACCACATAGTCAAGGCAGGTTGAATAGGCCTTAGTAGTGTATTATCAGTGTGGGGTTTTGCTTGTTACGTCAAATAGATTTTGTTGAATAGGTTTTCTTGAGGCCAGACTTTGCTGACAGAGATAACAATAATGTAGCAGTCAGTGATTGTACTTACATCCTGTTGACGCTGGCAAATTATACCACCTAAATTCTTTGGAAAATAACAGTATTTGTTCGCAAAATGCCAATATAGTATAAAATATATCTCTCTAAATTTCATGCATGGCAGTAAAACATGAGACAATAAAATATAAGTCACTGTGAAAAGTTTAACCTTATAAATAGGCCAATCTCAAAAGTTAGCAGATAAAATAGTGTTGTGTTTCTTGCTTCACCAGGCTTTTGGACCTTAAGGCTAACACTGTGGAGAATGGTAAATAGATAGTCTTCTGTTAGTGATGCGTGAACGTACAGAGCTGGAATTTCTGCTCTCCGTCTGGTATCTGCAGAAAATCTGATCCACGCTGTACCCTTATAGTACACAGGCCAAGTGAGGGGGGGCTGCAGGTTTTTATGCCCAGATAAGAAACCTAAATGTAACTTAGGTTAAAGGGTTAGTTGCATTTTATTGCCTCAGTCACAGTAGCAGGGGACAATAATATAAAACGTTATAGCCTATATTAAAAGTTGATGTAATGGCAGTTATGGATGCAGCAATTTACAAATCTCACGGTACGATATTATCACCATATTCATTTCACAGCGCAATATTTATTATGATATTTTGGAGAGGCTAATAGAATTGTAGATAGGATACTTTCTCCTTTTAAAATACCATGACAAGACTTTGGTGTGAACCATTACCGTCACAGTCCAAAGAATTAAATTACAAAAAACATATTTCTTCATGATGTCTGTACTGAAATGAATCATGGTATATGTAGTTCCCTATGTTTATTAGCTGTTGCTAATATAAAACAATACAGTTAAGCAAAGCAACTTCTAATTCGATATTTTGTGACAGCTCTCGATATTATTGTGAGACTTGATGATATGATATTGTGATATTTTGTTTATTGTTACATCCCTAGTGACAGTAGCAGTAAAGGTTAGTTGTTATGGCAGTAGCAGTAGTACAACTTTACATCTACTTTATGTTTAAAGTTGCTTTTTGACACAAAGTACTTTCTGAAGTTTACACATAAAAAGCATACGTTTTTGTGAATTGTCTTTGTCATTACTATTTTTTAGCTCATTCTTACTTCATACTCGCCTCCCTAACATCAAAACTAGCAGATAACAACTTGCTCCCTGCAGGTTTTGTAGAAAAAATAAAAGAAGCTGAGGGTTTTCCGAGGGGTCAGATACATCCATCAAATAGTGTTATGAATACTGAGAATGTTTTGAATAGTGGTTGGCTCGGGCAGGCACGGATGTACGCAGTGACCTTGACTTTTAACTTCTCAGCCAGGCAAGGAAGTCCAGCTAATATGTTTAGTAATCATCTATGAAGCTGATGTATGGGGCATGGAGGAGAGCTGGTGGGACAAGGGAGTAACACTGGAATGCATTCAACCTTGTGTGACCTAAGAGCAAAATATGAATTTGACCTAAACTATCTTGGACATGATTGGTGAGCTTGTGGTTTTAAAAAGATGTTTCTTCAACTCATCCAAATTCCTCTTTAAATGAGAAAGGATACGCATGATAAAGCTAATAATATCTTTTGTGTATCTTGTCAGGAGGCCAAAGTGAAGAAGATAATGTCCAAAAAGGAGAGGAAGGACAAGAAGCTGTTTTCCTCCAAAGACGATGAGCACTTATTGTTGACAGGAGAGAATCTGGCTGATCGCAGAGGGTAAGGCTACGGCTACATATACATATACTAAACTCAATCATTTGTTCATTTACTGACCTCTAGTGGTCTGAGATAGTATTGTCTTTTTAGGCCTAATACTTTTTAATAGCAATGATTTGTGAGAACTTGTGTTTAAAGACCTGCATATTAGAAATAGGCCTGTCACAATAACACATTTTGAATTGTGATATTTTTCCTAAGTGAATATATATAATAAACGATGATATTGAAACCAAACCATAAAGCAGCATTACCCCAAAAAAGTATTCTTAATGTTCAAAAATGTACTAACACTTATGTAGTGAGTTAGTATCTATAATGTGTCATACAGGTTCATAATTCAGCCTTCTACAGCTCAAATCTTATTGAAGTACAGAAACATAACCTATATTTTCCCACTAGTACAAAGAATAAGTATCCATATTAAATATTGTTCCATCTGTCATGTATTGAATGAAAAGTTGATATAGTAATTATCGTGGCATTGCTCCAAGTTTTCAAATGCAGAATTAGCTCATATATCATTTTAAACAGAATTAATTGTATTTTCAATTACATGAAATATGTAATTAAATATAGTAAAATTATTCAAATAACCATTCAAATTTCAATTAATCACACAGCCATACATCTTTCGCAAAATAATTTTTCAAACTAAAACCTCAAAGATCTTTGGTGGAGGTAATATATTTTCTTGCCAGTGAAAGTTTGAAAGGTCGTATTGTCTGTTCTCAGCCCCAGCTATAAATGTCCCCAGCAGCCACACTGGGTTTACATTAACTTCAAGTGTGTCCCACCAGAGTGCTTTAATGGCCAAGTGCGCTGCTGTAAAAGCATTTTCATCTTGATTGAGAATAATGATGTCTTGTATAACACTTGCACTTGTTTATTTATAAGAGACAGGCCTAGAATTTAGCAGCCATTTAGATTTAAACTGCTTTAGGAAGTGGGCCATGTACCGTAAGGGAAACTTCAATGAATCACCTACTGTGTCGCACAAACAACGGGAATTCCTATGTATATAATGGTTGGTCGTATAGGGGAACATTCCACTCTCCAGAGTGTAAAAATGTCAGAACTATTTATACTTTAAAGATAACATTGAAAAGGTTTGTTTATCCAAATCTCCCATATCTCCCAAATCTCCTTCAAAGGTCCCACAAGAAGATCAAGGATGACGAGAAAGAGAAGGAGAAGAAGCCAGAAAAGGGGCAGTGTTTTTGGGATAGCGTGACCACAACTATGCGGCAAATCTCACCGACCAAAAAACTGGAGAAGATTGAAGGATGGGAACCGCCTCAAACTGAGCACTCTGGGGAAATGGACAAACTTTCAGACGACAAGAGCCAAAAAGGGGATAGCGTGGTGCCTTGTCTGGAGACTGTAGACCTGGATTTGGACTCTTGGGCGGGAAGAGGGTTGGAGGAGGACAACTCGCGCTACGCTAACCTGTCTGACTCCAAGGATCGGGTGGGAGCTGTGAGGTGGACAGCACGCGCTAAGGTCAAACTAGCTGGTATTGGCAGGATGGGCAGAGGAATTGTGTCAGAAAGCACATGGGAGGGGCTAAAATAGACCTACATGTTGAATCAATGAGAAAGATGAAGAATGCTAAAAGGTGCATTGTGTAATTTTTCTGGTGGAGGGCCCATTACTTGCTACTCTCCATGTAGATGTTCCACAGTATGGCATTACACTCATTTATCACTATGGAGACAGCAGGGCCAAGTTAGATATCTCAGCAGAGCGCAGGGCCCACTAACAGTAAGAATGCTTGTTTTAGGTCAATAAAAACCCATGTTCCTATGTAAATTCAAGATGGATACATTTAATGCCATACCGGGACATTCTAGACAAGCCAATATCATTTCCATGGAGACAAATGGGTGGCAGACCCTCCACCAGAAGAAGTTACACAGTGCACCTTTAAAGAATTGTGTGTAAAGAATGAGTTTACATGTAAAATCAGTGAACACGAACTTGCTGTTAAAAGCTTCCAAAATGAGTTGTACTAACTTAATTATAGTATAAATAATGTCCAAAATGCCACTACGCTGGTTTAGAAAAAAATCTACTTGCGTTTATAAGATTAATATTTTGTTCAATTACCTAAAGTTCTCATTTTACATTTTAGTTTTACATTCTAGAGACACTCCACAACCTTGATTGAATAAACCCAGATAAAATGAACAATGGCTATGTCAAGGTGCAGTTTAGCTGTGATTGCTGCTCTGCTCTCTCTGTAGTTAATGAAAAAAATGAATGAAAGCCTAACATACACTACTGTACTGTTTGCTATAGAAATACACTGTTAAGAGTATGTGCAAATATGCAAAGCTACAGCCTCCAGTGCTGCTAAACTGTGAGTCAAGCCTTAATTTCCCTAAAAGCTGTACTTGTGCAGTTTTGTTAGATCTTGTAAAATATTTTAGTACTGAAAATTATTTTGTGAATGATTTTTGCTACTCTGTGATTTTTTTTTTATTTTTATGGAAGTGTCATAGAGCAACATGTCAGAGTTGAATGCTATTTATGAAAAAGTTCTAAAATTAAACACAAAATTCACTGTACTGTACACAATGTTTGAAGTGCCTTGTATTAATAAAATAATGTTAATATGTATTTGTTAAAATACATGATTGTGTGTGTGTGTGCATTTTTTGTAATAACATGGTAACACTATGGCTATTATTATACTAGTGCTAGTGCAGAATTATTTTACTTGTCTGAGAAAAGAACATGACACTAAACCATTTCAAAAGAAGGGTTTTATTGAGGTTACTTTCTCCCAAATAGTCACAATAGTACCTTTTAGACTACCACCACACGAAGCGCTGGAGGATACAAAAGTTTAAGAAAAGGGTATAAAAGGTAACTCTTTTCATAAATAGTGTTTGTACATTTCCCTGTCTGTTACGAGATCAATATATTTAAAAAATCTTAACAAATCGTAAGGTTTGACAGAATCTTTCTAAAGTGACTTCACAAAGCAGACGTAACACGACAATATACAGTAAACACATTAACGGACATGCATTCATATAATCTCAAATACAACATGTCTAATTGTGTTTTATAACACCATGAGTTAGTCTGTAATGGTTTACAATGGTTTTCATTATATTTACATTATGTAAACCAAAACACTTTAGTCCTTATTTCACATTATGACTTCTTATAAAACAACACTTGTATAGACATTATTTTCCCTCCATGTGTTTGTGTTCAAGGTTCTTACACTTTTACCAACATTCGGAAAGTTAAAAAACAGTACATTTTCCACAGGAATGGATGAATTAAGGACATAAAATCATTGATCATTGCTTGAAGCCCTTTGTATTTGACTACACTGGTAAAGTCCCATACACACTTTTGGTTGGTTTTGGGGGTATTGGGTTAATACTGAAAGAGTTCAATAAAGTCCTGTGGGGAGATGGGCATGAGGCACTTGTCTGGGTCAATGGCTGTGCAGGGGTGTCCCCAGTCCTGTAACAGACAACACACTTTTATATAAGAGATACTAAAAACGCTTTACATGTGTGCATTTACATTTGACAAACAAAGTATAAGTGAAGGTGGCATCAAGGAAATCCTGTAGCAACATGTTGACTGGTACATAGCTTTCCACACATATGAATATATAAATAATAGTAAGATTTAAGGAAATATATGTTTTACTTAAGAGCACTGAAGTTGCAGATTGTTTTACTAAGCTCTTGAATAGAGCTGTGATTATATAGCACCAAATCGTGGCTGGAATTTCCAATGCAAAAAGACCAACTAAAGTCTAAAAGTCTTGTGGTTAGATTTGGCATATTACTGCCTTTTGTTGTCAGCCATTTCATGCACAGCTGATACAGACCCCTTGAAAAAGTAAAAAAAAAAAAAGAAAAAAAAAGAAAGAAACAAGGTATGTCCATAAATGCAGTCACCCAGGATATAGCCATAGTAGAAATGTATCAAAACAAACCAAGTACCTTGAATATTAATGCCAGGTGTAGATCCTAAAGAATAAGAGTCGAAACAGAGGCAAGAGGAAAAGAAACCACACCAGAGAATGGGTTAAACAAGATTCAAGATAATAGATTTGAATTGTATTTACAAGAATAAAGATACAGGATCTTACCTGCCAGAAGAGGATGTGACAGTGCTTGCAGTAGTGTAATGTGTCCCCATATTGCTCTCTCATGGGGTAATGTTTCTTTAATGTGAAGTACATGAGCTTCCAGTCCACGTTGTCACTCTTGGTCAAAACTAAGTTCTTATGATACTGGATTTAGGGAAAAATTAAAGACAGAAACTTAACAATGTGATGTGTGATGTGAATGTACTCATCAAATCAATAATAAGAGTCAAGAGTATCCAATAATAAAATCACCAACATTTTTGTGAGGGTTCAAACTGCATTAAAAGTGTTGTACTCCTGCCCTCTAGTGGTGAAAGGCTCAAAATACAACCAATACAATATTTGGACTGCTTCTTGGGGCAAAATATGTGATGTATCCATGAACAAATATTTCTCACCTCTTTATCAGAGAAGTGAAAGTAGCAAAGCTTTTTCCACAGTATCTTGTCCTCACTGAGGAAGCGCAGTGTGGGCATGGCCTGACCCAGATTAATGATGTCACAGGCGTCAGACAGCTTACTCAGAATCTTGTTGTGCATGTGAATGGGCAGGTCGCTAAGGGACATGCCATTGCACCGATGCTGAGGGAGAAAACAGAATGAGCGTAAAAACTATTAATAAAAATATATACTTACAAGTGTGTGTTTGCGCTCTCTCACCTTTGGGATCTGCAGGTTGTTGAGCTGCTCCTGCCACTTTAGGATAACTTCCAGTCGGGACATCCATATGTTAATGTTTCCCACAAGGACCACCCTCCCCACATGAACAGTCAGGCCATGCAGCGTGGAAACCAAGTCCTGCAGCAGGTCTTTGACGAGGCGAGGGTTATAGCAGTCATCTAGCACTAGAGGGTGATGTAAACAGGAAGAAATTACTTGAATGTAAGATATATTAAGTATAGTGAACAAAATAATGGGTGCTAAAAGTTTGTGTTTTATGTCAAGTTTAATAATTGGGTGTAGAAAACTATAACTGCTATAAACTACACGCATTTTAATGATATTCTCAAAAACATCTTCACTTTAAGTGTTCCACCAGTAGAAATGCAGAGGCCCACTCGCTTGACTGGTTCTCTGAGCCATAAGCTGCTGTTTAACAATTAAAAGGTGTTTGGTTGCCCAAGGCCTGGAGTCAAAGTTCTCAAAACAACTCAGTTCAACTTAATTCAAAACACTCACCTTTCTGTACAATCTTTTCAAGTATATTGAAGTAATTCTTTTGAGCAGCTCCACTTAAAGATGTAAGATGGTACCTGGCAATTAACTGGAATAGCTATAAGAAAAAAGAGACCAGGTTTAACAAAAATATAAACACATTATATATTATATTTTACAATGAACTACTTTAGCAACATAGTTGAATCTCCGCAAGTCCTCAACAGCAGTGGAAAAGTCCAGACGGTTAAGGGCTTCTCCAAGTGTGCTGTATCCTTGCCTCTGAAATATCAAGGGGAGTCACTCAAATCCTCCATCAAGAAATTATAAGATATACAAGATATAACTTAACTTACTTCTTTAGTGCTGACTTTATGGACATATATCCATTTGTCTTTTACAACTAGGAGAGATTTAAAAAAAAAAAGTTATGTACAAAAAAAAAGGTAAAATATGCAGTAACTTCAAAGTATGGTGAGGAATGCCTTTGTTGTCCCTATAACCCCAGCATGAGGAATGCAGCTCTACAATTATGGGGCACTCACAGTGAGACTTGGTGCTGTTGTTGTAGAGGTCCTTTTGCTGCTTGACGCTGGTCAATTCACAAACGTCTCCCACAAACACACCGTCTTTGTCATCACTGCACAGTCTGGACACAAAGCAAATGCTGGTATTACTGAACAGCAGAAAACATGGTAATGGTCAAGAAAAAAAAGATGTGGATATATTAGAAAATGACCATTATTATTTTTTTATTTTTCATAGCAGTTTTTTTTTTTTTTCAACCCAAAACAATCTTAAGGATATAGAGTATGAAGGAACAATTTTTCCAAAAATATCTGAAACAACTATAAACTTTGCTATGGTCTAAATTTCTAAACAGTGCACTCCTATACACAAGAAAAGTATAAAAAAGTATGAGCCTACAACCACAGTCTTCTTCCACTTCAAACCTGTAACAGTGTAGTCACATTTTTTACATTACCCTGTTCACACTTAGATGTCAAAATAAAGCATGTAGTTTATTTTGACAAAGTTCTTAGTAGTAGTTCAGAGTTTATATTTATCTTTTATTATGAGCCAGAGGATTGCCCTTTTCTTAAAATGAACAAAGACTGGATTGACTGTTCTTTTCTGAGCTACAAACACTGAAGCTTGTTTTAACAAATACATAGTACATGCATGCCTGTGCAAGTCCTTGACAAGGAAAGGTGAGCCCGTTTTCTCAAAACTATGTTGTTTGTTACAAATAAAACAACATCAGGCAAACACCATGAACAATAAATTAGCCAAGAACATTTTGCATTTCACACAATTTTCCCCGTTAATATACTAATTTGGTATAGATGCCAAAATCAATGTCACTGCACTCCATATGGAAAACTGTACTCCACATTATAGTTCTTAATGACAAAATGTTGTGGGACTTGATAAGTATAGAACCTATGATAGGATCTCAGGGAGGCCTCAGACAATTCTGATTATTGTTTTTTGATTCATTAATAATAAAAATATTTAAGCACTTGAACAACTGCGGAAAATCTGGACCTATATTATTTCCATATAGATTTTAAGTGGGTTCAGCAATACCGTTTATTTATTTTCTTGTAACCTATAGATAAAAACGCAATGATCTGCATAAAAACATTTCAACAACATGTTAATTTAAATTAACATGATGTTGCTTTGTTCAGATCAACATCTCATAACAAAATCTCATATCGTGAAAAAGTTGTAAAAAAAGGTTTCGAAGGAATTGAAGATGGTCAATAGCATAAACTGTTCCTTTTTTTGAAGAAAGTGTTCAAGAAAGTTTTAAGAAAGTGTATCTCCTACTCTGTCCATCTGGAACATGTTTTAGCAGGATCTGAGACAATCCAATCTGAAGAATATAGCAAATCACAGTTATTTATGATCATTTGTACTGTGTATTTGGGTTCATTCATGCTTATTTTGTGGACTTAAAACAAAACATATGCCAACACTTAAGTGCTTACTACTGATACAAAACACCACATATTGTTTGACTGGCATGAGAATGGTCTATTCAGTAACACTGTGTGCCAGTCCAAGTCCTTTATAATGGGGCCCTTTCTTATAACAACAAGCCTATATATGCAGCTATAATATGTTACTGGGGTCTGGCAAAGGTTGGAGAGCAGCCAACAAGTGACTTCAGTGGTCATTGACATGTGAGAGATAACACCATTGCACTGCTATGACACACATGTAAATCATTACACACAACACAATAGCAGGTGCTGCTTTAGTATAACTTAGTAGTAATTTGTGCTTGGAGTGTATAGTTTAGATTAAGTTCTGGTTTAGACTGTCTTTGTATGGATTAGGGTTGTTAAAAAAAAGGATGCCTTTTGCCTATCATTACTGATAATTGCACAAGATTTAGTAAGGATACTGATTAGTAAGCTCATTAGTGCACTTCACTGATATTGACTGTACTAAAAAGAAATTCCGTAAGTGGGGCACATTTCCTTAATAACTGGTCTAGATGTATATCAGACCACCTGAGCTGGTAATATTAAAGAAACTACAATTATATGTTTTATAAATTACATTATACTGCCTGTCTTTTTAAAAATTCTCATTAAGGTATAGAAATTTGTATTGAGTATGGAGCCTTTTTGTCAGAACCAAAATTGAGCAACTGCATTCGTATTGATCCTGTTTTTTTTTTCAATGTGGATACAGTGATCACATATTTTCTAATTTGACGCTAATCATTTATGGGGCTAGGGGTACAACTTGATGTCTTAAAGTAATGCAACCAAGTTGATTGACCTGTCTTCAAATGTTGTTTCTAGTACCCAATATTCTAGCAAAACAGGATTTCATATATAGTGGCCTACTTAGTTGACACTGTAGGCACTCAAAGATCAAACTAATATGCTGACAGAGTAAACAGATCATACAATGGTAAATATAAAATCAAATACACAAGTAACACAAACATGAGCAGTATTTGCGCACATAATTGGAGTACTTCCTATTTTATCACAAGCCTGTGACTATAGACTATTAGAGGGCCTAATTATAGCATGATAATTATTTCTCTGAATAAGCTGATGTCATGTAAATTTGCACTTTTGATTTCAGACCAGATCATGTGAGTCTGTCTGTTTCCATGGAGTCTCACTGGCAACAGCAGCAGCTCTTTTAATGGGACACACTACACCACCTTCTCCTCATATCGAATGGCCAGGATAAAGTTCATTCAAATGGATCAAACTTCAAGAATAGGATTGCATGATTAATCACAATTAGATAAAAATTTCAATTTCAGTGGTTGTAAAGAATGAATAGAACACTGAAACTTTAATGAAGTTTCCTCTACTAACTACAACTCAATTTCTGTCTAACAAAATAAGTTAATATCTTTACAAACATGTCCCAGTAAACATTGGATTCTTGTACTCGTATTGTTTTGTTTTGTTTTTTGTATTGTTGCATTTCAAGCATGTAATGCTCCTGGGCATGTTTTAAAAGTGCTGAAAGGAATCATATTAAAACATAAATTGAAAAAACATAACAAAAACATCTACAGTCCATAACAAATTTTGAATGTTGTTAATAATGCTGAGTGTGCTGAATGTGCATCCCTTTAAAATAAATGAAATGAATAGAAAGAAAGAATTGCAAATCTATTTGTAATTGCAGCGTGTCAGAAAAAAACCCAAAACAAAAACAAAATAGTTTCACCCTATAAAAGTGCCCAGATCCTTTTGGAAACTGTCAAATATCAATGACACAATCATTTCTATCCTATAACTAAGTCTTAAATATTGTATTCATATAATGTCATAATGTCTCTCGTTATGGATAACTGACCTATTGTTTAGTACAGGGGAAGTTAACCTTTCATCTGCATGATGCTGTTAATCATATTAAACTATTACAGTCAACTGATCTTAATTACTTGTCAAACGCATTTAATGGAATCTGGTATGGCAGGTTAAGAAAAGCGACTCACAAAAACAAACAAATTATGAATTGACTCACTCAGCAAAATCCAAGTTGTTATTTTCCTGGCCATACAAGATGATCCTCTTCCAACCATTGTCAGTCTTCTCCCAACACCATCCAGGAGACCGCCAATCCTTGCCCAAGAAAGGCATTTTGACCGAAGCTAGTTTCTGTGTAAAAGAGTGGGGTTTGGGTTAAAAATGTGCTGTCAGTTCAAATAAATACCAAATAATAACCACCTTTATTTTGGTTAACACAATGCACCAGTTCGTTATAATAAGTAATGACACTTTAAATAACCATAAAGCACAATTTACACACTGCAACAATGATGCTGATCACTAAATATTCAACCATTTTTTGATGAAACTGAGGATAACAGAGAGTGACAGTCGAATCTGCACGAACGGCTGTAAACAAAACTGGATTGCACGATCGGTATTATTTTAAAAAATAAACAAAGCTCTTTAAAAGCCTGATAAACTAACCTTCACACGGAGTCGTCTCCTTTGTCGTATCCTCTGTCCGCTTTTCTGCCTGCTGCGTTAGAAATATTGACGGAAGTAAACACAGTGCAGAGTGTAGCATTCCGGCACTCCCCCTCCGTTCTGTGATTGGTTAGAAATTCCATATTTATCTTGTTGCTACCCAAAACGGCGGCGCTCATTGGTCTACTGGGCTGTCAATCACTTTCTTATTATAATTCCGTATGTTTTGTTAGAGGCTTTCGATTACACGTGACTGGGGACTGCGCACATGCACTTATGTTTTGATTTTGCAATGGGGGATGGGGAAAGGACTGGACAGTGGTGATGCTTGATGTTGCTACTATCATGCACGTTGAGGTAAATGCATAGATGGCTTGCACTCAAAATATAGACCTACTGTACCCCATTTATATGTTATGAAGCTTTTTGTCTGGGTCAGTGTTACAGTAGCGTCAGACCATACTCTGGTTGTCTACGCATTAATAATACACTTTTAGTTGCATGACAGTTGCTTATAAAATTCTCAGTGAGTCTAGTCTTCTATTGTGTGATGTTGTCTAGACGAAACGTGAAGTAGAGTAGACAGTTATTTTATGCATAAGTGTGTGTGGACTGCACATACTTATCAAAGGTGAACTATGTAACTTTTCTGATTGATCTCCTGCTTGCCTCCATAGTGAGTAGTTATTGCCTTGCCTGAAATGTTTGTTAGTATGGGAATAAACATCTTGCACTTAGTCAATTACATATGTTTTTTATTGCTCATTAAGATCGTTAAAAACATGCAGACTATAGGCCACAGGTGTCAAACATAAGGCCCGGGGGGCCAGATCCGGCCCCCCAAGACCTTTAATGTGGCCCTTGGGTGATTTTCTACTAAAATATTTTAATTATATTTTCTATTAAAAAATTGGTAATTTTTCTGCGGTGTTTATCATAGCAGCGTCTCCAGCGTCTCTGTACGTGGCCCCTCCCACCAGAGCAGCACAAATGAAGACTTGCCTCTTTCCAAACGCTCTTAAAGGGTGATCGTTTTGACTGTTGACCGTGACACCCTCATCAACAAAATGTCCAAAATAAGAAAAGTGGACGCTGAGTGCAGGATTTTCTGAGAAAAATTGACTTATTCCTATTTGCATACAAGTTCATGTTAAAACATTGTGTTGAAATTGAATTTTTCTTAAAGTTTCAGATTGTTCATAATATTATAATATTATAATAAAGAGTTCATCAATTAAAAACGATTTCTGTAATAGATTTGCATTTCTCTGCACAAATATTTGAACTTATTGTTATTTTTGGGGTTTATATGCCATGAGTTTTCTGATCCGGCCCCTTTGGGATCAAAGTAGATTGGATACGGCCCCCCGGACCAAAATGAGTTTGACACCACTGCTATAGGCTATACTGTAAATGTCCTATTTTGTTGTTTATTCTTCATAATTTCCAAAGGCAAACAAAAATATATCATAACAGATGTAACAGTTCAACAAAATATCACAGGATAATGCCACTGAAGTTTTTATGTGGCCTCTTTTTATGTGGACCATGGTATTGAGTGATGTAGTGTATGGACTGTGAAACAGTAGCTTGCTTACACTGCCCCCTCCTGGGGAACAGAAGATATAATTTATAAAATATAATTGCCAAACTATTCAGTAGAGTTTAGTGGATTTTCTTAAATATTTATATGTTACATCAGTTCAATTCCAAGTATCTGTAACAATACTCACTTCAGTATAAATCAATGGTGCAGTAGCAGTAAAATTGAGATCATAGGGACACAGCAACTTGAAAAAAAAAAAAAAAAACTTGAAAAAAAGATAATTTTAAAAATCCCCCAGATTGGTGTAATCTCTATAGAGCTACATAGCCTCTCCAAAATATCTTCATTCTGTCTTCAGTGTTGTGCAAGTTTGTCAATAAATTTGGCCTACTTGGTAGAAATTGTGGGGCCATAAATATGAGTAAAATTATGACTAACTAAAAAATAAGATGATTAGCTCCCAAGACACCTATTTGACTCACATACTGATCATCATAATAACACCCCAGGAGGTAAGAAGTGCTAAATGTAATGTAGACATGCTCTTGTTGGATTCTTTTGAAGAATTAAGTGCATGCCTGAACTTGTCTTGTTTTGTTCTATCAGTGCAACTTAAAGGAGTGCCTTTTTTACACTTGTTTATCAAAGCGTAAAATAGGTTTTCAATACAAAATTATTTGTGGAAACAATACAGGTAGGGTGTGTGTTTATAACATTCAGTCAACAATACTCTTTTGTTCTTCTCAGGCTCAGGTTGCAGTGATTGAGCTTTGATTAAAAGGTTCTTTCAAGGAAACAGACAATACACAGCCAGTGTGGAAGTAGACAACAAGGAAGGAATCAAGTGGAAAAAAATTGGTTTTGTCAGCCAGCACATTATTAAACCTATTACTTAACTAAGGCCTTTCTTAGGTTGTAATTTGAACATTACTCAAGTGCACTATGTCACTATATTTCCTGTTCATCTTTTACCCCAAAAAATGGGAGGTGGGATACTTATTGCACAATGACTATGTACAAGATGAATTTGTGGTTTGTGTTTTGTTTTTAAATGTCTTCCTTTTAAATATCCTTATGGACCACCTTGAGTCTGAACTAAAAGCTGATTGAATCTACAACCAAATATATAAACACATTAATAACCCCATCAGTATGACATTTTAACTTCCAAGAGCAAAACTGTATACTTAATAAATTCTTGCAGAGAGTATTCCTATTAAATGTCACTCCAGGTCTCGTAGCTTCTTCCCAGTCTCTGTTGCATTCCTGCAGCTGTACAACCATTTTATTATCCTCGCATTTCTCTCAATGACAGATGTCTGCTGCCGAAACTTGTCCAGCACCTCATCCTCCTGTAGACCATCACTGCCTCCACTGCTTCTGGAGAAACCATCGTCTGAGTTGGACACACTAACACTTCTAATATGCTCCTTCAGCTCTTCTGAATGTACTGAAAAATTATCCTTTCCCACCATCTCAATAACATCACCGCCCAGTCCACAGTATTTAAAAAAGGCATCAAAGTCCGCAAAGTTTTTAGAGTATCTTGAGCTGATGTCGGAATGAGAACGACTGACTCCTTTGCCCGATCTTCTGAATTCTTCTGGGGCATCATGAACGGTGAGTAAACTTGAATTTTCTTTATTTCTTTTCGTAACCATGCCATCCTGTTCATCTGGGGGAGCTACTACATTCACCGTGCATTCCTGTGTCGTGCCCTCAGGTGTGGGAATTTTGTCCTTTTCCGACTCTTGCACGCTTTTGCTCTGTAACTTTCTTAAAATGTGGTGCCTTCGGTCATTGGCTGAAGCTTTTATTAAATCACACTTCTGTCTGTATAGGAGCAGAGAATCAGGACGGGTTTTTGAGCTCGATCTTCGTACCTGTCCCGGTGAAACACTTTGCAAAGGACTACCGCTTATAGTCACTGGTAGGTTACTCACAAGCTTTCCCTTTGAGCTCTGCCTGGATGACCCATTACTACTAACAGACACTGACCCAATGGAGATCACTGGTTCTTGGGTAGTACTGATGACTTGTTGGCTTTTGACGTATTTTGGTTTACTCATAGCAAGCCTCTCCACCGCACTCAACCCAACTTTGGTCTCATTCTCCAGCTCCATTTGCCTGCGAAGATAGTCTGGGCCACGCTCCAGGATTTTCGAAGGAGCACTTGTAGTCTCCATTGTAACAAAAATGTATAGAAAACAATATAATATAAAAAATGTAGAAGCTTTCTTGCTGTAGAGAAAAGTTATAGAGATTCCATATGAGTCCACTTCATGTCTGAGCTTGAATCAGTACAGGAGAATTCACCTTGTCTGTTCAAACACACTGTTCATTACCCCACCCATTGAGCTCAGTTTTAGCCAAACACAAGCCCGTTCAAAGTACACCTGATAGCATCAAGTCCGAACAGTGAAAGCTGACACTTCTACGGAATCTTCCTGCTTGAGATCTGTGCGTTCTCATGCCTGTTGCTCAATAAATTGCCACTATACATTCTTGTTAAATACATGACAAAATCGTGACTCAGTTTGCTTAACTTACTGATTGTCTAAAAGAGGTTTGGCATTCAGCTCACACCATTCACCATAAAAATTACTCACAAATATTGCCATAAAGAGCCAGTATATATTTATAGTAATGTACAGCCTTCTGCAAAACTACATGTAAAAATAATAATTTCAAATTACATTTTTAAATTGATTTCAAAATGCACTAAAATATTTGTTGTTTGGCTTACCTCATAAAAAGCAGTTGTGTTTCATGTGTTCTTTTGAATTTCACTGGAGTTGAGGAACAAGGAATAAGAGAGAAATGGGAAAACTGGTTTGATCAGTTGTTTTCTACTTAATTAAGGTGTTACAGGTAAGAGTTAGGGTATTCAGCCTCAGTCATTCTTTGTTCATATGAATTAAGCCTTATTAAAGTATAGTTATTTAAAGTGTTATTCTAAAATAATAATAGTTAAACCCTATCTAGTCTTAAGTATTGTGTTGAATAAAGAAATAATCAGTCCATGGGAAATTTGATTTACATGTATTGTTAAAATTTTGCATCTTGTTTATTTACAACAAGATTCATTGTAAAATGCTTTCTACTATCATGTAACAACATTTGCGAGGAAGACTGGCTACAGGTTTGAATTTACAAGATGTATAATTTTTTGTTGAAAACAGAATCCAAATTAAAGAAAGGCCATTAATTAAGTTCCCTTTTCAGATCTCTTTGAGCTCTTGTAATTGTTCTATATTGATGCTTGTAATCTTAGTAAGCATCACTTTTTATACATTCTCATTTTTGGCACAAAGAGCTATGAAATTGCCATGATTCATAACAAAGATATGTGAAGTTGGTCATTTCCTAAACTGACAATCTGGGACTTCACAACAGTCTTTGAACAGATAGAGGGCAGCACTGCAATATCTAGAGATCAGCCACTATCTGCTGCATCACAAGTTACTAGACTAGAGATTTTTTTTTTTTTTTTAACAGAAGCAGTTCAAGCAAATGATCTTTGGCATATTCCTATTCCACCCAGAACAAAAACATGTCAGTAACATTCACCCCAAACACCTCTTTGTTGTCATTACAGATGCCTCATATTAATATTGAGAAGAGTTTCATGGCCCATAATTATCAGATCATTTGCCAGACTTACTCAAATTTGTAAGATTATGTTTGGATTGGCTTCATCCACTCACTTGAGATATAAGCATTTTTTTTATCTCGTGCAAACAAATGATGAACTAAACTTTTCAGAATGTACAACTGAAGACTGAAATGACAGTAATGTATTAATTTGCACGTGACAACGTTAAAGTACTTTTATTGGCTAATAAAACATGTTATGTTATATATGTAACATATATGTTATATATGTAACACTTTTGTATGGTATTTGGATAGAAACTTTAGAAATTGCATTGAGTCAAGTCAGATGTTTATGTTTCAATTTTCTGCTCTTTGCATAACAAGTTAACAGCAGTATTTTCTATTTCTCCTTAGATGGCTTGGAGGTGAAGGCTGCTATAACTTCTTCCGGTTTACTGAGTTAGCGGTAAGACGTGTTATCATGTTTATTATAATTTAGTGTGGCGTCCAGGCAAACACACTTGCTGACGCCATAAAGCCCTAGTCAGAGCCCTCCTGAGTATTCACACCTTTATTTAATCCTCACTTATCCGCTTCGTTAGAAAAATATATTCTCAGGCCTAATATGATTGAGCATTGGTTTCTAATTGTGTTTTTATTCGGCCATTCACAACAATTACTGGCTATCTTCAAGACGTGAATGAAAGCTAATTAACATGGCTTGCAAATTATCAAATAGAATTGCAGCAGGCATCTTTTGCTTGTTTGAGTTATGTAAAGTAACTATTAATTAGTTTTTATGCATGCACAGCTAATAAGCAGCAATGTAAGGTCATCACACACACACTGGCAGTCTATATTCCAAGTGCATCTTACAGTATGAACAAGACCTAATAACTATTGACATGGCATTTCCTGATTTCTTAAAGGGATGTGATAACAAATTTATGTGAAAATGAATTGCACAAACATTGATCAACCAAAGTAATAAAATAAAACGAAAGAACACAATAAAAGTCACTATTCAAATAGGATTAAGTTATACCATGTCATAAACAGATGTATCAATAACAGTAAGCAGAAACAAACACTGAGTGATGAAAATATACTGCAGTATTCATTCAAATGTTGTCTCTCTCTTAATGTTAAGATGGCGGCAGTGTGAAGGGTTGTCATCACAAAAAGGTAATATTCAAATACTTGTGTGAAATGAAACCAGACCTTATACTTTGGACCAAACTACGCATCTAAGTCCAACATTTTGATGGAGCGTGACACAAGAGGTAAACCGGGCCCAAGCACAGAACTGAACGTTGAGTAAGTTGTAGCTGTGCTTGAGAAAATAATGACATCTTAGCTCCTCTGTCATGTCCAAATAACTGTGTCATGAAGCTTGGATGATTTGGAGCAAACATCTGCACTGAACATGCTTCTGGGAAATTTTATACATGTTTAATGTTGACGTCCTATTTATTTATGTTCAAGTCCCACTGGTAATTATAGATATTCTCAACAATATGTCTTTGCTGGGGTACACCCTACACAGTTGCACAGTTTTTTTTTTCCTGGGATGATATAAATCCAGACCCCTCCACTTCATTCAATCATAACCATGAAGGGTTGCACTCACAGCTCACAGCAAAAAGGAGTTTGCATGTTTCTTCTCGTGTCTCGGTGTGATTTCTCCAGTACACCAGTTTCCTCCAACAACCCAAAACTTTCACAATAGGTAAAAATTCTCCAGTTAAGGTAGGCCTGACCAAACCTAGCTCAAAGTCACAGGGATGGGTCTTTGGGTGTTGCATTGCTCCACTGCTCCTACAACAGTAACTAGGTAGTATATATACAGTTATTTAACATAAATAAGTAATGTATTGTTTTGTAAAATATGTTTATGTTAAGTCCATTGCAGAATGATTGTAATTAAACATAGGCAGATGATTAAGATACTGATAATACTATTTTGATTATGTTGTTTTCTTATTTTGAAGATACTACAAAAATAGCTGATAAAGAAAATCAAAAACAAATGTATTTTGGACACATTTAATTTAACTTAATTTTTTTGTCTGATATTTAAACACATGTTTTAATGCATTTTGTTGGATTTTGAAAATACTGTCTGAAAATTGTTATTGGGAAACATAACATTTTTTTTATTGTTTCAAGTTAGCTTACTACTATGTATGAAAGCTTCAGCTAACAAAAAGAGTAGTCATCACTGGTTTTACTTCAAGAAACAAATAAGGCTGTTGTTATCTGCATGAAATTAGGCAAATTTGTGTTTACGGCAATAATGACTGGTAGATAGAGATGAAAAGCCCATTTTATTGGTTTTATTAGTTGTTTTAAAGAATTTTCCCAAGATTTCAGTAGAGCAATCAAGCGAGCCATTTAAGAATCTGTCTGGGTAGAAAACAAGTACCATCTCACAGTTAAAATTCTTTTTCAAATGCCTGTCAAGAATGAAGGACTTAAACTAACAACTGAAACAACCCAGTGTATGATAGAGGCAAGCATTCATTGTTTGTATTATTTATTCACTGTATGATGTTACCCACGAGTCCATATGATACTACAGGATAATAGTCCAATAGGTGACCTCTGGGTACCACCACATAAAGATAAGACACCAGGTTGTTTCTGCATCAAGACCATCTCAGGGTCATCCATGCCAAATACACACAAATCCTGAAATTATTGTCTTTGTGAAAAAAAGCAATTTCAGCAAAAGTTTAGATCACCACATTGGCCATTGTTCAAGTACAACATGATGTTGAATTTTCAAGCTTCAATGCTAACTGGTTTAACATCTGTTGGTTTGAGGGACTTGTGTCTCAGCTATGTGATCACTGCTGCCATCTTAATCATACGTGCATGTGTGACTGGAGTAAAGATGGCATTTCAAAGTCCTGTATTCCCCAAAAATATTCATGTGAGCTGTAAGCCATATTATAATGCTGTTACTTCCTCAAAAACTTACCTGGAGTTGTGTTTTGTTTTATACACATGTTGGAGTAATTCTGCATTTTTAGTCTGTCTACATCTCCAAAGCTCAATATGCTCTGTTCCACTTGTGATGTCATGAAGAGGTAGTTTTGAAGTTAACAGCTCCTTTTACCTTTTGTTCAGTGGAGATTGACAATTCTGAGAGGGATCTGACTGCAGAGACCCTCATATAACTAACCTATATCCACAGGTCCCTAAAAATAAACAAACATTGCCCATGCCAAAAGACTGCCAAAGTCCACTGTTTCCTGCCTGCTGAACACTTTTATTGTATTGTATTAACTTGTATGGCCATATGGCATCACAATGAGAAGAGAGAGAAGAGAAGAACACAGCCTAAATATGCAGTGAACACGTGTGAATGAAACAAAACTTCTGGACTGAGATGTCTGTTTTTTTCCTGGTATCAGCTGTAGCCACTCCTCCAGTTTGGGGGTTACAGCCCTGACTGCGCTGATCACCACAGGCACCACTGGTGCCTTCACCTTCCAGGCCTTCTCCAGCTCTTCCTTGAGCCCCTGGTATTTCTCTAGTTTCTCATGTTCCTTTTTCCTATATTGCCATTGTCTGGTATTGCAATGTCCACCACGACAGCCTTGTTCTGTTGCTTATCCACCACCACTATGTCTGATTGGTTCGCCCTAACCATTCTGTCGGTCTTTATCTG